GTCAGGCAGGTCGAGTTTTTCAATACACGTTTTTCATCCTGTTGAGCTGAATAATATTTTCTTACAAAGTGGTTGTTGCTCCTATTGAGAATGGGAATTGTTAACAAGGAGACCTTGCTAAAATCAAAATGAATGGAATCAAAATTTATCGCTGGCTATTTGCAATATAAAATTAATATAAGAGGCGTTTCAATAATAATTTACTTATTCAGAAGCAATTTCATAATATTCCTCCTAGTTTTAAATTCTTTGATTATTTTTTAAGTTTAATCACTTCATGTTATTTTTTTTTTTTAGTTTTTAAAGTGTTTTCTGTTTATGACGTTGAAAACATATGTAAAGTAGAACAAAATTAAAGCACGCCTTGCCAGCGTTTTTTTTCCAACTATTTGCAAAAAAAATTAAAAATGACTTGATAACTTTTTCATACATACAATAATTATTTAAAGTATCAAAAGTATTCGAAAGCTTTTAAAATTTGGAATAAATTAATTAATGTAATCTAAAGTAATAAAATAACAATGGAAGCATATAACAAGAAACGTCTTCATCTAAATAGAAATTTATAACTTCTTTGATTATATTAATTAGCTGAGTCATTTTTTCTCCTTCCTTTACGAGTCATTTTATATTAATACATTTGAATACAAGCTTCAAACGCTTCAAACTGTTGCAAAATTCTTGTTAGTTAATTGAAGTACTCCCACATTTCAACACGTTTTAACATCCGGCATCTTTTCCGCAACGTTCTGAAAAATTATTTGACGAAGTCAAGATCTTGCTTCTACTTTTGCGCAGCGCCTCGAGGGCGCGGAAACACACACTGCAGGCAATTTCCTCGATAGCAAACAGCACACCAGCTCTTTGCATAACCCCTCGGGGTGCATGCGTGTGTTTTATCTCGCGCCATTACATTTATTATAACGCCGAATTTCCAGCTGCCGGCGCAATAATTACAATAATAATTTTCACAAAACACCATCTCTGCCGCTCCACTCGCGCGCGCGCTCCTCTCAACGTGAAACTTTTGGCGACGAAAAGATGCATCTGCGGGCAAAGATTATTCGCCAGCGTGCTGACTTGGCAAGTCTTAAGTGCTCACAAAGCTCCATGCGAGAGTTCAAATCCGGCGCGCACCTCCAACTTGAGCCGTTTGGACACCAACCGTTTCAAATGGAAATTTATTTGCAAACTTTGCACCCCGTGTTGAGTTCATTAAATGCGAAAATTCCTCCTTCTCGTGCGGTCGAATCGCTCTTTGAAGACCAATGAGTTTCGAAAGGGTCGCCCGAATTGCTTTTCGAGAATTCCAAACGCATGAATCGGACCGTTTAATTTTGCCAGAGTCGAAACTACTAAAAGGACTGGAAACGTGGTACACGATTAATTTGAGTTTCAAAGTCTTCCACTGGTCCCTTTGTTTCTGGATTTTTCTTTCATTTGAAAAATGAGTAAGAGGGTTCACTCGAGTGCCGCCCTCGCGGCCTAATTTATCGCCGAGTCGTAAAATGTGCGTGCGCGTTTATTATTTTGATTACGCACCGGGCTGCTCCATAAAAGAATCCTTTGAGATAAGACCGAGAGCCTACTCGTATTCATATTAACCTGGCAGAGAAAGCTCATATTAACCTGGCAGAGAAAGCAATAATAAATTTAACGATCGCAAACTTGCAGGTCGAGATTAATGACTTTGCACACGGAATAAACATTCCTGGCGCTAACAAGCACACTGCCAGACTCCCCCATCTCCTCTAGTTGGTTTGATAGAGATTAGAATGGAATGATATCAATGCCTAATTATATAAGCAATTTACAAAAAAAGTTTCAATTGTTAAAAGAATAAATCATGTACTTAATATAAAATAACAACCAATAAAATATCTAACATTATAAACTTTTTATAAATAATATTTTTATTTAAAAATTACAATAAATGATTTAATTTTTTTTTTACTTTTTAATTAACAATTTAGTACCTTGATTTTTATGAGTAGATTATAATTATTGGAAATGTTAAAAGCAAAAATTAATATATTGTTGTGATTCTCAGAATAGCATTATTCTAATTGTGTCTTCAAAAGATGAAAATATCTTAAAAATATTGCTGCATGTCAATCATTAATTTAGGAAAATGAAATTTCTATGTTATCAATCATTAAACATTAAATCTTGGGAGTATAATTGCACTTGAGCATGTACACCAAAAAGATAAAAATGAATATTGTTATAATTGTCAATTTTGATTTTTTATAATTATCTACAGCCCTCTCGCTCCCCATGCTTTACATATTGGAACAATTTCAATGCCCATAGGGTCAAATTTATTGTGCCTACTGGAGAGATTAGCTACGGTCATAATATCAAAGACACCCCAAATTCACTTGCGGCCAGAATTTTTGCTCCGACATATTTTTTTATGAAAAGAATCACACAAAGAACTGCGTTTTTTTCTTTTGTTTTTTAACACAACTGTGCGACTTTTCATTGACTCATAAAATTGCAATTTTATGAACCAAAATGCGGCGCTCGTGTGTATTTTTGCTCCAACTCTGTTCTGTGAGCGAAACAAGAGAAGTCGGTCGCCAAAAAGCCTCCCTGACATAAATAAAGAGCAGCAGCGGAAAAAGCGGGCGCGCGGGCAAAAATATACTACACGCCGTCGGCCACTTTGTCTTTTCATTTGGACATCGTAAAAGCAGAGCAGGCTGATGATTCCACTGAAACTTCTGTTTGGACAAAAAAAAACGCTATGATTCCGCGAAATGAATGAAAAACATACAACATGCGTGGCAGCAGCCTCTTTATTAGAGCCTTGTTCTTGTCCACATTTTCCCAGTTTGATACCCGGTGGAGTTCAACTGCTGCCCCGCAATCATGCAAGCAATTTTTCTCTTTTTTGTTGTTTCAAAAGCAAAAAGTGGAATCGGATACTATGGAAAGCAAAATTTTGAAAGTTGGTAGAAATGTAGTAGTATTGCTCTTTTTATTTGCAGATTTCACAGAATTTTTGTGATTAATTATACAAAATTTTATAATTGCTTGATTTTATCGGATTGAAATCAGTTTTTTAAAATTAATAAATTAGATCACTTGATTATTATATTACACTTTATCATGCACAAATCTCCTGAAAAATTCAAATTCATCCATATAATTCTAAGTTAATAAATAAAATTAAAAATTAACCTTTCTCTGCTTTAATGGTGGCTATAAAAAAAGTCAAATTTTAACTTATTTGTTTTTTCTAAAAAAAAACTTTTATCAATTTTATTTGAAGCAACAAATAACAAGATTTTGAAAAAGTAGCAGCTTTTGACATGGTACATCTCCAACCCTCATCGCATACCACAAAATATATGGAAGGAAATTCCTCTCAGCCATCTCGCATGATGGAAAATTTTCGCTGTGCACTCGTCCCTGTATGTGTGATCGAACGAACGTTCCCAAAGAATTTTCATCATCGCCATCGCACACGGATAATTGAGCCTGGATGGAAAAGAGTTTCTGTGCAATGCTCGCAATTTCTCTCTCCGGTGTATTGGAAAAGTAATTCTGCTCTTCCTCTTGCATATTTCATACATGCGAAATTAAAACGGAAACATCAGCGAGCTGTACGGCTTACAAACACACAAAACTCATTTCCACTAGTCATTAATAGGCGGGGAAAAATGGCTGCTGACTCAAAAAGCCGTTTGTGAATTGATTTACGACCTGTTGTATGCAAATGTAATAAATTTTTCAAGTCGCATTCCGCGGCGAGAGGAGCTCCTTGGGAGATATTTTGGACGCGTTTCGAGTTAATGAACGGCAATTATGGCCTGATAAAATTATAAATCAATTTTTCTTTCCTACCCGCACGCCACACGTGTGATTATTAGACACTGGCCTTCGGTTTCTCAAATCTCTCACTGCTCTGTTATTATTTTTCTCTCCTAGGCGCGCATTTGCGGTTGATAAATATTTATTAAGTCATACTGGCGAACGCGGCGTAATCAATAAAGCCATAAAATTACCAGCCACGGCGAACGGCGCAAATTTCGTATTTTCGGCCCAGGCTCTTTGATATTAATAATGAGCCCAGATTCTCTTTTTTGTGACTTGTTTAAAAAACGAGCAAGCAGCTCCACGCCTCTGGGTGTATTTTATTATTCCAGAGCGAATATAAAGAGTGAAGCTTCAGATTATTTGTGGTTTTTACAAGAGCTTAAAAAATTAAAAATAAATCAGCTTTGTATTAAAAATGTTGCTCTAAAATACATGTACATAAGCAAAGTTAAACATTGTCTTGTTAGCAATTCTCTTTATAGAGATTCTTTAAAAAAAGAACAATAATATTGATTTAAAAATTACATTATGTGAAAAAAAATCAAACCTTCTCCTTTAGAGGTTGCCTAAATTTTTTCATTTCCCTCTTCTCACCAAAACTTATTATGTTACCCATTTGCTTTTGTTCGTGAATTTTCAATTCTTTAGGATTCTACGTTTATAAAAAAAATCTTTTACAACTAAATTTAATTACTTGTACTGGAAGAGATCCTTTTAAATTTGACTGATAGCGCATAGTTTTTTTTACATGGGTATACTGTTCTTTGCATTACTTAATTTTTTATAGGGTGACAAGTATTTCTTGCTTATTTTTATTATGTAATAGAGCCACTTTCTAAAATATATTAAGTCTAATATTTTATTCGTCTCCATTACTTTAGTCTCTGCAAAAGGCCAGACAAAATGAACATAATGCTTCAATTTATATTTTTTTCAAAAACGATATAATCTCAAATCCACTCAATTCAAAGTTTTAAATTAAATCAAAGTTAATTTAGAGGCCAAATTTTATGTCGCTCAAGGAAGTATTATTTGTTTTTAAAACAGAATAAGATTCCAATGCTAAGGATATTTTATTCGTCAAGCTAAATCTCAGTGTTGAGATTTTAAATCTCTCTTCCCTCTTGTAATCTTTCTTGAATGTGGTTTTAACGTACAGGTTATTTATGTTGCAGGGCCAGGTTCGACGCTCATTCGCAGTAACTTATCCCGTAAAGGTAAGCAAGAGGCAATTATCATTTTCGAATTATACGCGCCGTCAGGTTTATATAAAAACACGCTTTTGCGGTGTTGTGGGAAAACTGCCAAACTGTTCGAATAAATTTGCACAGCAATTGCCGAAAACACGGGAGAGGAGGGAAAAATGGTCATCGATTTCAACTTATTTCCATTATTCACGAGATGTAACAAAATACAATGAAGACAATACTTGTCGATTGAGGCGGCGCGTGGGATCCTTTTTCTTAAAACACGCCATAGGGCATCCCAAATTGAAGCCGAATCAGATCCGATGGCCGGAAAACAACGCGTAAATGCTCTAAACACAACGAGCATAAAAAGGGAAGACCACCGAGGAGTTGCCGAGGATTCATTCTGCTGCGACATTCGGAACAAAAAGGTAGCCACAATTAGCGAACAGTTGGAAAGTTTGTTTTGCTTCATAATTATGATCTCGTTGACGACGAATCAGCCCCACGGATTTTTATTCGGACCGCAAAATTAGCAGGAATTTTTAATTGCTCCACCGCAGGATGATTTTCATCTGTGGTTGCGCGGTCCATTCCGGTTTTTAAATTGATTAGGGCACGCACGTTTTGGAGAAGGTATTTGTTGTCAAAAGCCTTTTTTATGATGGAGAGGTGCAGAAGCTCGGGGATCTGACAGCGACAAAAGATGGATTGCTTCTCTTACAGCGAGCGCCACTTTGGCAGGGAACACGTGTAACGTGCAATTTCGGCAAGTGCTGCCACATTTTGAATGATTACTGATTTTTTCCATCAATTTAATGCCAATGAAGGATAATATTTATTACCAAATTACATAGTAAAAGTTAATAATTAAAAATATAAAATGTTAAAAATATATTTTACATTTATAGAGTACTGTTTTATTTTTTATTAAATAAAGTTTACTGTGTTAAACATTTTAAAATTTATTTTAGTTATAATTAAATAATTTATTTTTTAGTTTTTTATGGTTTAAAATAAACATCAAATGTTTAATCTTGTTTTACCTTGTTAAAAGTTAACATTTTTTTATAATTTAACAAATGAATGCCCCCAATTTTGTTTTTTGTGTATAATCATTTTACAATTATTTGATCCTTGATAATTTTCCGGCCCTGTTAACTATATTACAAAATGTAATGATCGTATAAATTGATCAATTTGTAATTCATTTTTACAATTAGTTAAAAAATATTTGATAAATTTATATAATAATTAATATTGAGAAGCTAAGAGATTTAAATTATAATTTTGAGTTAATAAAATGTGTATTAGACACAAACTTGTATATTGTTTCACGAAATAACTATTTACAATGCACAAGATTTTCTCAAAACATTTTAGGAACTAAAAGTTGTACCTGGTGCAGTATCAAACTATCAGAGAAATTATAAGCTCGTGCTCACACGCAATGTGTGGCGATATCTTTTTGTTTACAAGCAACCAGAGAAGCATCGACTAAAATCGTTCTCGCTGCTGGGCTATTAAAACAAAATTATAGTCCGGCACTAAAAGCTCAAAGATGTGTTAAGAGAGGAGAGAAAATCATTCAAAACCTTAAGGTTAATGAACATTTTATTCCCCCACCCGGATCAATGCCTTCTTCCTCTGGAACGAATTTAGTAAAACTTTTTCGGAACAATCTTGTTAATTCGTGGACCATTTCTAATTTGCACAAAGAGCCGGAATTGCGGTTTTGCGGAGGCACAGAGCAAAACGTGTTCAGAGACAAACGCGCTTACTATTAGAAAAGGCAGTTTTAGCTCTCTTTCCGGAATGACCCTACAAAGTGAGCAGGAGGTAAAAGGTAGTGTGCGTGTTTAAAAGCCCTTTCCAGGCAATAACAGAGGAATTCCTAGTGCACTTCCCAGCACGGGGCTAATATGGGAAATGAACGAGAAAAGCGGTCTCAGGGGCGTCGTTTCCAACCTCCGAAGCGGCGCCAGTTCGAAAAATCTATAACCCTGTCGGTGAAATTTATATATGTTAGCGCGAATAGCAAAAGATTTAAGAATTTGAACCAAAAAAATTTCGCAAAATGTTTACTCTGGAGCGTTCGGAATTTCCAAATGAGTGGAAAATGGCAAGGATAAATGGAACATAATTCCCAATTTTCTGTTTGCGGTTGTTTGCCTGTCACTCATCTGCAACGGCAGCAAATTAATTTATATACGATTGTCGATCAATTTCAATCCGACCGCGAGATATTTGAATAACAATCAATCCAAACACACGTGAGTCGTGTCTAACTGAGCGTGAAATCGACTTCCTCCTGATCCATTTGTTAATTTATTATTCTCCAAAGGATCGATTTTGTGCCCCGTCATCACTTCTCTATAAACGCACTTTTCCTGCATCACCTTATGAGAAAGGCACAGACCGCAGCACTCCCTTATTGCGGTCAGAGATACATCGAAATATGTATTAGGCGTGTGTTTATTAATTTTTGTTTTATCGAAACACATCTCCTGACTTTGAATTTAAATTTATATAAACACGTTGATTCGGCTAAGAGAGAACAAGCGTCTCATTTCTTCAGTAACATTCGTACGAAGATTATAAATAATTCTGAGATGAATTGCCGCTGGTGTTGAAACCTGTAGCTCGTCCCCCTTAATTCTCGTCATCAACGCGTGAAACTTGCGAATTTATCTTTGTCGAATTTTTTCTCTGCCACACAGTTGCGCAATTTGCAGCTTTTTCATCAATTATTCATGCCCGGCAAATCTACATGAAAGAAGTCGCAAACCCACACATACACGCGGGAATGAGTGGAGACAGTGTGTCTACCTTTATTCTTATTTCTTCGCACTGCATCGTTGCACAAGATGAGATGAGTTTTTTTTTTTTTTTTTTGTATACTATCCAGCAGGGGACCGACATTGAATAACCCTTTGCGGCAGTCAGCACTTTTCTCGTCCTGCCGACGCTTGTCTCTCTCGCCTTTTCTTCCCGAACATCTTCACATAGGCGTGACTTCACCGCAATTCCCATCACGACTTTTGGGCTTTGTTTCAACATTTTGCTCAAATATTTTTTTTCGTTTCATTGCCTTAAACTTGCGAGATATTTGATTTTTGTAAGCTTTTTTAAATATTTCAACTTAAATTAAATTGAATATTAAGAGATAATTATGTGAGATGCGAATCCTAGTGAGAGCCTAGTTCAAAAATACTGAAATAAAAAATTGAAAAACTAAAAATGCTATCTAATTAATCTGTTTTTCTTTTAAATATTTCTTTCTTTAATCAGAAAAATTTCCCAAATAGATCATCAATAGGTATGAAATTTGTTTCTATGACAAATAACTATTATTTTATACAAGCATTTGTATAAATTACATTCGAAGAAAAATCCTACCCATCAGATGAAACTTAAAAATATTTAACACTGTTGCTCTCGCACAATAAAAAGCAGCCGGGCCGCAAATAAAAACTACAAAAATACGCGCCTGCCGCCTGAGTGATGTTGACGCAAATGACCCTTAATTTCTCCCGGACACATTTCATCTTTCATACTGCGCTGACCGGTCATCGTTTTTTTTTTGTGCGCGCCACAGACGCGCAGCTATTACATTTTTTTGATAAGAAAACCCTTTTTAATGAGTGCCATTAGACCGACTGGAAAGTATCGAGTTTTGTCTCCTTGCATAGTGGAAAGAAAATGGACTGATATTTTTTTCATCGTCCCACGATTGACGCAGTCTTGATTTATTCTTTGAAAATGCAAGACTGTTGGAATAAATTATTGTCAGCTGCTTTATTAACGAGCAAAGTCGACAAGTCGGAATTACAAAATGCATCTTCGGCGCTGCTGCTGCAAGTGTGGCGTTTTTTTGTTACAAGAAGACGTGTCGAGTGTCATTAAAAGGGATAAGTCGAATTAAAACATGAGCGGCCGAGTGTTTTCCGAACGAGGCTGTAGCGAGCGGCTTTGGGATATTAATCAGAACTGCATTCTGTACAAAAACTATACCAACGTCGATCGATGCCCTGCTGCTTGTTAAGTCGTTAATTACGGGGATTAAAAAGACTTTAATTAACTCAAAGCCGACGCCAGCAGTTTTTTCCTCTCTAAAACTTTTGATGAAAGATCTGTTGGAGTAAATTGTCACTTTTTTATAACATTTTTTGTATTTTTCCTCCTTTTAAAATGAAATTGCTGCAATTATTTTTGTGCAACAAGATAAATTGTGAGAATTTTGTTAGCATGCGCGAGAGAAGTTTCGCATTTTCTTCAGTGACGGCTCTTAAATCAGATTAATGAGATGTGTGTGTCAAAAAACAAGTCTTGCTGTGTTGCGAGAGAGCGCAGGAGAGAAGCTCTGTGGAGGAGATAAAAATAATGTCCGACACGAGCGGACCTCGTGGGGGTCTTGACTTTAGAAAAATGACTTTGAAATGAAGAGTCGATTGGCGCTGAATAAAAAGGAAAAGCGACGATTCCTCACTAATGAGCTGCCGACTGGAGCTCATTTTCACGCGAGCATCAAAAAATTTTGCTCATTGAATTTCGCTAGAACCCCGCTGGTCATGATTTATCCGAATATTTTCATTTTCCCCAAAATTCATGTTGTTAATTTTACTAGAGAGGCTAATTTAGAAGTAATTTTCATATTTCAAGTCAAAACATCCATGAAATTAATTTATGGATAGAGGAACTCTCCGCTGTCAGCGTTTTTGCGAATAATATTAAATTAATGATGGAACTCTTGGGCTTTTTTATTCCGTCAACGATCAAAGACACGGCGAAATTCCACGCGAGATTTTATCTCCCGGGACAAACCTAATTATATTGGCGAGCAGATACAAAGAGAGCGACTTTTACGGCCCATATAAGATCCATAACTTGAGAGAAGCCTGAATTCGGCCTGATCAATATATATTCTTTGTTTCAGGCGCAGCGCAATTCCTGCCATAAATTTCCCGAGAAGCAATTTCTTCTTCCAATATGGGAAAGGGGCACCATTAAGCGCCAAATACATTATATGGGTTTTTATAGTATGATATTATTTTCGCAATATAAAGACATCTCACTCTCAAGTGGGGCTTGAAAATACACTACAAGAAATTTGGTAGAATTTGTTTGGCCAGGATAAAGTTTAAAAATCCGTTTATTTAACACACACAAAAATTTGATGACGTTTAGAAAAAATAATGTTGAAAAGAGCAAACGTATCTAAACCAGTTTTAAGGGTTAATATTTGTATTCTCAGAAAAAATTTATACTTTATACTATACCTTCATAATTAAAAAAATGCAATCATTTGTTTGAAACAATTTTTAATATGAGATATTAAGTTTTTTCCAAAGGCTTACAATAGAGATTGTGAAAAAATAAACAACACACATCTATTTCTAGCAAATGTTTTAGAAAAATTGTAATGAATATTTTTATTTTTTTCTTATCCTTACATTTTAAAAGTTATTCATTTAATATTCTGCTAATTTCATGAGTTTCCCAACATTTATGTATTCAAGTTAATTCCATCAAAATCCGTTCTGAGCTTATTCGTTTTAGTTTTTATTTTTTATTGTTTTTTTAACTAAGCCAATTATAAGTATAAATAGTTTATTGTGGAAATTTTTTATTCTGATTAAAATTCCTGTTTTCCTGATAACAATGCCCTGAAATTTAATTATCATATGAGTGCAGACTTAATTAATTCGGCTTTTTGCGTTCCCCGTCCGAAAATTGGTCCCTCTCTTGCTAATGTTTGCACTCGCAATTTTCCACCGCGTCGCCTTTAAAGAAATTATTTTCAGTGGAGTGCTTCTTTTGACGGGCCGCGTCGACGATGCAAAACAGTTTCTCTTTTATTATTTTTTGCGTCTTCAAATGAAATTATTCCAACAGGCGAGTTTTTTCTTCCCATTTTTTGCACTTGACAAAATTTGCTTGGATATCTCGCTGGCATTATCTTATTATTGCCTCAGCTGCTTTTTATATTATTGCATTCCACGCACACGCCGCCTCCGATTTACAAAAAAAATAAAAGCGAGTCGCTTCAGAAGGAGAAGTGAAGCCGTGCAGCAAAAACGCAGGCGGTGCCCAATGGGAATTTATTTCGCTGTGTGCAAAAATTGCTCCGAATTAAGCGCAAATTTTACGACTTCTGCGCTCTCCCCCCACCGCTGTGTTAATTTTGTCTCTTTTCACGACCTGGGTGGGACTTTTTAATTCTGGTTTATCAGCGAGAGAGCGACTGAATAATTCGCGCAGCACTCAAGGATAAATAAGAAAAAAGTGGTGGCCAAACTTCTTACTCGCTCTGGCCATCTTTCCCGAACACCGAATTGCTTTAGACCGCGATATTTGAGATATTTGCATAAATTTTGTGCTCCTGGAAACATGAGAAGCGCTTCAAAATCGTTATAAATTACGCATGGCCCTCCGCACGTTAATGCTTCCCACTTCGGAGTAAATTGTCTTGGGAATGGCGACTGCTAGAAAAGCGGCAGCCATCTCATAAAATTTCTTTCGCAACTTGCACACACACACACACACACACACACACTTGACGCTTTTTAATGGTGATTGCACTCAACGGCAATTAGTTTAATGAGCGACTCTGACACAAATAATTAGGTGCATCGCCGTAGAGTCACATTCTTATTGCACAAAAAACAAGTATTTGCGGGTTTCTCTTCTTCAAAAATGTTGGAAAAAGATAAAAGTTACAAAGAAAAGATCCGTCTGAATTTTCTAGGAATTTTCTTGTGAAATTAATTAAATGTATTGTTCTTTAGAAACAATCAACTTCTGGGTTTCAAACGACCACTGTGAATGCCATTTTTATTTCCATTAACATAACTAAATTTAAAAAAAAGAATTCTTGATCCATAATTATTTTGATTTTTTCTACCGACAAATTCGTCTTCCAGGCATAGTTACAATTCTACCAGACCGGTGAAGTAGATCATAATATTTATTTAGTTTATCATTAATTAACTATCTTTGACTGTTTAAAAAAATTTATCCAAATCTAAATTTAACTAAAGCTTCAAAAACTCTGTAATCTTCTTGATCCTTTTGATTTCTTGATCGTTGTTTATTTTTGTATCTCTGTCCAGTAGCGCACCCATCGCTGTACAATAAACACTTTCATTTTCATTCATTAAGTAATTGTAAAATATTTCAGGTTGAAGTCAAGAGAATGCCTTGCACTTGCATATTGTGCTGTATTTAAGACAGGAATGTGTTGAAAAAATCAAGCCCCGTTCAGTTTTAGTTTTGGTTTAAATTTTTTATCAATATATCAAAAAATTCATTTCCCCATATTCACAGGTTCAGATCCCTTATAGACTATATAAAAAAATATTAACTTATTTTTAATCCCTATTGCTAGAAGTTAAGTGAAAAATATAGGTAAACTTTAGAAATTATAACACGTTTTGATTTTTTAGCTATTTTCATTCAAATAAAAAGAGGCATTGTTGACCAATTCCATTGATTGGCTGCATTAGTGAACTGCACGCATAGTGGTTGGTGGTGTAATTTTTGTGCTGACAAAGCTGATTCCACTCGGTGCGTCAAAATGCGAAATCGAATGAAAGTGCGTAACTGCGTCGCATTTTGCACTACGAGCTTTTTGTTTTTCCTCCTCTCTGCAAATAAATTTCGCGACAGACGGAACACCTATTTTGTTTTTATTGGTCTGTAAACTTGGAAAACGCTGACGTCTGTTTTGCGCGTATCCAGAAAATGAAGCCAAACTTTCCTGACAAAACTGCCGCTCCCTTCGTTTTCTTTTGCTGATTTCATGAACAAGTTATGAGAAACTGTCACAATCTCTCTATAGTATTAATGAAATTTTGAAGAGACGGAAAACTTTTTTGGACAACAAAAAACAAAAATTTGCTTATTCGAGCTGAACTTTGGGTCTTCCACACCGTGAGTTTGTTAACTTTGGATGGTGATAAGTTTCAAAGAGAGGTGCGCCAATATTTGATTACGTGACACGAGCTGCTGATGAATGCGCCGATTTCTTAATTATTCTGCTGCCGTTCCTCCCTTCTCTCTTGTTCGTCCACTTACTTCACGCTGAATATTTATGAGGTTAAAATTAGATTGCAAATTTCATCTCGGAGTTAACTCGAATTTCTCGGCTGCTTTGCTCCCCGATGTCAATTCGGAAATCTGAAGTATGGTGGACCCTCCGGCCCTCATAAAGTAATCCTAGCTAACGATGAGGCTCGCGATTTATTCCAAATATCATAATATTTTTTTTTTCGAAATCATTGGCGATAAAAAGCGTTAAATTGAGATGAAAAACGTTTCCAGGGTTACAATAGAGATGAAGTAGGTGATTGTGTCAATTATTCCGCGGAACGATGCCTCTCATCACGAAAAAATCATTTTGTTCCATATCAAAAAATTGAATCGGCTGAGTTCAAGTGTGCGCGCCCATTACGCTTAAATGATGAGCGATTGCAAAAGGTCATTAATCAGAGAATTGATCCGTTTATTGCCATTTTATTTGGAAGACTGCTCACCGATTCCGACGCGTCATCCCATGGAGAAAAAGGCAATTAGTTGAGAAGAGTTTTTTTCGGGTCAGCAAATTACTCTGATCAAGTGGAACTTTTTGTTCTTTCCTGCTCTATAAGAAGAACCCCAACGTGTTTCTTTGCCTTAGAATCATTATTATGATGGATAATTTTTTTTTTAATTAATTTACACAAGCGGATTTTTCGCAAATGAATCTATAAGGGTCTTCACACTTCAAGTCATTCCACATGTGGTTGATCAGCATTCCAAGACAAATGCAGTTTTCATAAGACGCACTTGACGCTGCTGGCTGTCCCGAAGTCCAGCCAAGAAAAGGTCCTAGGGCGTGTCCCGTCGAATCCCAGTAGTACTGGCCCTCTAGGTACAAATCGTTTCCAGATGTCCAGAAGCCATCGACGCCAAGAAAATCACCTTGAAGTCAAGTTGAAAGTAAAATTTAATTGGATTTAGAAAGAAAAAATGGAAACTCACGAACTGCAGTGCGGATGGCCTCATTTTCCGCGTTTGATTCAATTGATACAAGCGTCATCCCTTTGATTTTGCATGCGTAATTTGCCTGGTACCAATTCAACTAAAAATATGAAAAGTTTTAGTGTCAATTTTTCATGAAAAAGAAAAAAAATGCAAAAAGTTTATTGTCACGCTGGATAGATTTTCAAAAATTCTTAACATTTTGTATTATTGGCAACAAAAGCACTTTGGTAATAAATAAATTTATATTATATAATCTACTGCCTATAATTATTAAAAAAATTTAGAACTTTGATGTTTGAAAACAAACTAATTCACAGAGTTGGAAAATAAATAATGAAATTACCCTGCTTGCAGAAACTTCATATGTGCTGTTTCCAAAAGTGAAGCTGAAACTTGCGTTCTCTGAAAATAATTACGCAAATATTTAAATATTCCGTAACCAATAAAATTTATAAATACCAGCTATCAACTGGCCAGTTTCATTGATAGGTTGGGCTGTTGAAAAACTAAAAAGGGCGATGGAAAACACCAGAAGCAAGGCCCTCATTGTGAAAACCACTCGGCCACTAAACGCAGTTCAGGTTTAGACTGAAAATTGTAATCCAGTAATCTTCTTTTTATTTGAGAACGATAGCCGATGATTGCTCCAGTGCAGATAAACTCTATAAATCATTAGAGATTCTCATATAAACCCCCCTTATTATTGCGAGAAGAGTTAAGACTTGATCAAATAAAAAGTGCACAGAAATTACAGGATATTGTTGATTTTAATGTTTTAATCCCTTTGGCTGGGGGACATGGAGAGATTTGCGTATCAATAATAACATATTGTCGCGGTGGATGGGAGTCGATCGGGAGCAAAGTTCCCATCGCTGGCTGGCAAAGTAGATAATCGCCAGGGCTTTAACGAGAGGGAAAAAACTTTTTTGGCGTCACAGTTTCGCGATAATCGGTGGTGGCGAGTGCGCCTGCTTTTCGCCAAAAGGGGCGTATTATTATTATCGAGAGAGCGAATAATATATTGGTGCCGCTGCAAATTAATACTCGTAAAATTTTATTGTCCCCGCCGCCGATACTTGCCCATGTGTATAATTAAACTGCTGCACAGCAATTGGGAGCAGCTCAGCCCAACCTCTCGTAAAAAGCGGGCTTTGTGTTGAAAAACAGACCACGTCGCACTTGTCCAAATGTTTATACAACACGAATCGAGCATGTGCACATGCAAAACGAGAATTCGAATCGGACAAAGACGTGATTTGAATCACGGAGGTTTGCATAATTTTTATGACGTTCGCTAGAATTTACAGTCGTGTGTTTTGAATCCGAGCATGCACCTAAAAAGGGCAACACGCGTCCGTCACAAGGGGCTCTTCTTGTGTATTATTTTAATTCTACAGCCGCACCTGGCATAGGTTTAGAAATTTCTTTGAAATCTCATGCGTTAGCCAGAAAGTCAAAATTTATTGAGAAAAAATTACAATATCAAGGTCGCGAATAATTTTTTACGTTCATTGAAATTCAATTTTTTTCCAATCTGAATTGTGAAGTACATTATCTAATTCCTTCTTTAATTAAAAAAAATATACATTGAAAATCTTTTCTTAAAATTCTTGCTAATATTCTTCATTCTTTCCATTAAAATTTAAAATAGCTATCCAACTGCAGATCAAAGGCTTACACCATTATAACTTTTCAAATTTATAAATATTTTTTCTGGGATAAAATTTTAACCACATTTTTACTCCCTTTTTTGCTCTGACTTGAAATGTTCATCAGGCGTTCAATGATGCCAAATTAGTTTGTGGCAGACTTCAGTTTGCGATTGCTTGCAAAAAACTGAAATAAAAACAAAACAAATCAGGAATTCTTAAAAAAATGGCACCTAATTAATATTTTCATTTTAATTCCTCATGCCATAGTTATTAGTTTTGACCCCCCTGAATCGACTTAAGAGGTTGATTTAATTAATTTTTTTAACCATAAAAAAGTATTTTTGTGAGGTTCCCAAATATAAAATTTTTTCATAATCAAAACTTTATTTATTTTATATGATTTTTCCCCGCCACGTTATTTGCTTAATAAAGATAGTTGTAAAAATATTCAACAAACGCCATGCAGCATTCAGCCCTTGAACAAGCTTATGAGGGTTAATTGGCAAACCACTTTAATCAGTTCAGTCTCCGTCAGAGCTTGGAAGCAAAATCGAAACAGCAGGTCAGGCGCTTATTCGGGTTGATCGTACTTTGTCCATCGCACTCTGGTCGAGGGGAGGGCAAGGCAAGAGTGGGAGCGCACACCTGTGTACCTGCACGGAGAGAGGAATCTCCGCGGCCGGCGGACTCATCGGTCCATCAGTCAGTCGGGTCGGTGCAGTCGGTCGTAGAGTGCGATCCACTTTGCAGCGAGAAGTGTGCGCGCCGTGCGAAATGGCAAAGTGAGCATCGCGGTGAAGGGGCTTCGGCGACACCCCAGAGTGGTGCTTCATGAAGGTAATTTAAGGCACTATATATACTCTTGCAATCTCTCGCGGTGGTGAGACGAGAAATGAAAAACGCGCACAAAGAGCTTTCGACGTGCTGCGGCAGCACTAAATTGTCGTCGAGTGTGCGTGTTCGAGTGCAGAAATGGGAAAAGAAAAGGAGGACTTTTGCGCCAATCTGCAGATTTATTGATCACTAAAAATGTTTTGACATTGCAGAGCTTAGCTTACAAAAGAAATCGAAATGTGTAGGAAAAAAGCTCCTTTGTTACCAATTTAATGGATTTTGAAGGAATAAATTTCAGGCTTTAAAATTATTATTTGAAAGGTAATAAGAATAAATTTGAATAATTTATTTGATTAATTTTATATTACTGGAATTTCTTTGTTAAATTTTTCCGCAAATTTCATTTTAAATTGTTATCACCTAATTAATTTTTTTCTGCTTTCTTCGTCAATGATATATTTGGTTTCAAAATTGACCACTTCACAATTCGACATTTTATGATGATGATTTTTATATTCATTTTTAAAATTTTCACAAATAATTGATTAAAATTTATAATAATTTAATATTACTAAATAAAAAAACATTCTACCGTTTTCTATTTACTTGGTGCAGAAGCAGAATGAAGGCAGGAAGGCTTTTTTCGCAAGAATGACCAGCATCTGCACACATTTTTTTATTTTATATTTTGGGAGGAGCAGAATTTGCCGAAAGCACAACGAGCGCACCGAGCCTGTACAAATTTTATTTCACGCGCGACCATTAGTTTCGAGGAAGAAATTTGATCTCTCTCCAAAATAATGTGCCGCTGCAATATTTCGTCCATCAGCCGCTGGACCGCAGCAGCTCAAGCTGATGATATATCGGGTATCGCACGCTCGCCTTTTCTTTGTGGCCGAATTCTCAAAGGGACGTATATATTTTCGGAGGCGCGAAAAATAAGCCTGCGAGGGAGGATGAGAAGTTTTTTTCTTTCTTTGGACGCGCCGAAAAAGAGAGGCGGATTTTTGTTGTGGCTCAAACTTTTTCGCTTCCAGCTCATCTCTTCTTTTGTTTGTTTCCCGGCTGCAGACGCTTTTTTCTGTTTTTATACACGTCTGGAAAAATAAAGAGATTCTTTTCATAATGCAGCTCACGGTAAAAAATTGGACAGGTGTTGAGCACTTAAGAAGATTGTTTATTAAAAAAGAAAAGCAAATATTTTTTCCTTTCTTCAAATTGGATCAAGACCAGATATTAATTTAAAAAGTAATTTTTCAAAACATAAAAATGAGTAGTAATTAGTTAATAATGAATTTTTTCAATTTTATCTTATCCCCAGCAAGGAACATTTTTTCAGTAAAGTTGATCACGGTGCCCTGAAGGTGTAGTGAGCGAGTTTATTTTATTTGCAACACGATTTAACGCGTTGATGTGCACGGAGAGCAATTAGCCGAGGCATTTTCCAAAGGGCGGCTCCTCTGCCTCGCTCACTATGGTCTTACCGAAGTTCCAAATTACAGGTTTTGCACTCTGGTGAGGTTTATAAATAAACACAAACCTCACTTAACCCTCGTCTTCTCTTTCGTAATTGCGTCTCGCGGCCGTTCATCCTTCTCGGAAAAAGTGAATTCTTCCCTTCTTTGGTGGACATTAATCTGACTTGTGTTATTTGTCTTGTTGCAGTGAAATCTGTGTGTTGGATGCGGCGGGCGTGAAGTCGCAGCAGCGGCCGCGTGATGCCTGTGCGCTTCTGCCTGCTCATGCTGGCGACTACCTGCACAATCACCACAGTTCTTTCCAAGGCCTCGTTTTACCACGACTCGACGGGCTCCGATTTCTGTGAGTAGAACATTAATTTGCTCAATTTTATTTACAGTTTTCATAAAAGTAATTCATAAGGATACATTTATTTTAACGGAAAGAAATAAAGAAATTAAAAGTAAAAATTGGTCTTCTTAAATGAAATATGAAACTGAATGAAGTCAAATAGGTTAAGAAAATTATTAATAGAGAATAGCCAGGTATGACATTAGGCTACCAAATTGTTAGTTATCGGCATGTAGAGCATTTATTTAAAATAATGATAAAAATTAGAGCTTTGCAATATTAATATAATGTATGTTATTTAAAAACGTTGAAAGCTGATTAAAAAAATGTTACTTAAATTAATTTTTCAACATAAGAACATAATGTGTTTTAACAAATTAAGTTTGAAAAATTATAAAATAAATCTTGCTCTCTTTATGAATATTTAATATCTTTAAATTGAATTATTAAGTTTAATAATTCTTAACGTATTATTTCAGCGTCCAAGGTTAACCTTAACACAAGGAAATTTTGAATTAGTTTCCTTGGCTTCTTATTAAATTTGAAATTCAGAATAAGTAGGAGTAATTATTAAAGCATTTTTATTTTAAGCGCAAAATCTTGAAAATCGCGTTGCAATTAGAAAATTTTGTGCATTTGAGCCAAGTTATTTCTAAACAGAGGATGTGTGCCTTCATAGTTTGAAAAAAAGCTAGTATTTTTATTAAAGATGCAGAGCAGGAATTCTTCAAGCGCATAAGGGACCAAGACAGAATGGTTTAGCGCAGGCACGCATGGTCGGCAGGTGGAAAATGCGAAAACGCTCGGGCCATTCGCAGGCGAGCACATTTTCTTTGCGCGAGCGAACGCTTTGCAAGGGAAATCACGTTCCGGAATAGGAGGCAGCTGCGGGCCGGCCGACGAGCAACCCGCTTGACATGCCCGGCGAGCGGGTTGTCTATGTGCGGGGGGGACACACGACCAAACCAAAACTTTGATCTTTTATTAAGCGGCAAAACTTCAACTGCCGCCGCTGGCCAAACCAGGCCAAGCGTCCGGAAATGCGGAGATCAATTTTGCAGGCAAATCAACTTTGAATATTTTATTTGAAAACGAAGCGTCCTTTCCTGTCAAACTTTTCCTCTCAACTCCAATAAAGAAGGAGAGTTTTTACATATACATTCAAATTTCGTTTTTGGTCGCGTTTTTGTTCAACTTTTGCACCGTTGATTTGGCACGTCGACATGCAAATTTTCTCTCTCAGGTTGAACCTGGATGAATAAAACATCATCCGTTGGCTGCTGCCGCGGCTCCAGTATAAAAATATAACACCGGGAGCACGCGACTGGCTGTTCGGACGGGCATTGATACACACGGCTTTTTCTCTTCCGACCGCCAGCCTGATGCAGAGGTATAAATGAGGCAGTCGGAACAAAAGTGTTTTGGAAAAAAATAAATAAATGGAAAGCAGGTTGGCGAGTGCTGAAAGCTTTGCACACGTTTTGTGATTACGTGCAGCTGAGCACAAAAGCAGCGACGAGCTTATGTTTGCAATCACTGGTTTTACAAAAGAGATTGAAATTTAAAATGTTTGATTGCGTCGATTTTGCTCTGAAAAATTTTAAAGCTAGGCAGAAAGCAGATACTGTATGGCTCAGCAGAATTGATTTATTCTAAAAAATAAAATCAAATAAATACTAATAATAAACCAACTTTTTCAAGGGACTTACGTTTAATAAAACGTTAATGACTGTAAAGTGAGATGCCATTGATTTACAAATAATTGTTACAAATAATCAAAATTTTGAGCAACTGTTTATTTTTGCTAGTATTTTGAACACTCCAGGATCTGATAATATAATTAAATTTATCTCGTCCCATTCAAAATTTAAAAACATTTCAGAATTTTGGCTCAAAGATATCTGTTTAACAGAAATTTTGACATGATAGCAGCAGCTTTAATGAAGGAAAGGATGCATACATACATTACGCACAATAACTCATTCAAGTGAGCAGACGTGTTCGCAAATGAACTTTCATGGTATGCAAGCGATACGATTGAAACGCCGGAGAACCGCTGACGCTTTTTGTCCTCTAGCACATCACACGCGTTTGCATTGTGTTTAGCACGGGTACACGCTCATAATTTAACTTCTCGCGCTTATGGCAGCAGAGGCGAGACACGCACATTTCCTGCGAGAGCTGGGCGCACATTCTGGATAATGTCGAAACGGACGACATTATTCTTGTTCGAGTATAGTTTTGTGTTAAATTCGCTCGACGAGAGAGCGAGAGAGACCAAAACCATGGCGAGAGATGAATGCAAGGGAAATTGCGATCCATACCTGCGTCGCCTCTGCGTTATGAAAAGATGATCCCTTTTGCTGGCGCACACTCTGCCGACGACGAAAATGGTTTTGGAGACCGTTGTTGACTGCCTTGCTTGGGGAAATAAATGCCGCACTCGTTGAGCACAGCTATGGCTCTCTCGGAATTTCAAATGACGCCCAGTGTGTGCAAAGAGCACTTTCGGCCTCTGTTTTCCGCCCTAAAATAATCTCGCATGCATGAGGTGCGGCTACTCGCGTCTAATTTCAATTTTCTTTTATATATTCATCCTTCGAAAGGGAAAAGCTTTGGAAAAGCTCTACTGGATTTTTAATAAATCGCTGCGCCGGCGGAAAGTTAATGAGATTACGCCATCAAAAGATAATGTAACTGAACACAAATTGCATTACACGGTGCTCCCTCCCTGCTCATCTAAACAAATTATGAGTGCTGAAAAGAAAAGAGGGATCTCTCCAGTATACAAGGGTGAGTGTTGGAGTGGAGCTTCAAATTTGAAGAGCGATGAGGAAATAAATCAAATTTAATGAGCAAAAATAATGAGATTATTTTACAAAATTAAAGTAGGTTTTAATACATGATTTAAACAAATTATATGGTAGTAAGTAATTATATTTTATAAGAAAAATGCAAATTAATTAGGTCTTCAAAAATTATCCTTGATGATTGAATTAGCTTTATTAATAATGACTGATTTTTTTCTATAACAACCAGAAATTTTTGCAAATGTTTGTCGTTTTTTTTTTTTGCTCTTTTCTTTTACTTTTATCACTCTAATATGGGACAAATTAATAAAATTTGAAAATCAATTAGTTTACCTTCTAAAAAAAATATACTAACAAATAAACTGGTATTTCAATATTATCTCAAAGCGAGTCAAATAACTATTTCTAAGTAAGTGTATATTTTCATCTGATTTAGTATTTCTCTAGGGGCTTTGATTACCAATGGTGAGTATTTACTGTTTATTGAATTAGCACGAGACTCATTCCAGGTTTCGATTAGCCAATAAATTCCGCGGAACATAATGAATTCATATCCCAAAGCGACGGGCCCTAATTGCAACCCCGGCAGGTATTGTGTGCCGCGTGTACAAATTTATGCAGCGCGAGTTTAATAATGCGAGCAGCAGCAATTCCTGCGGTGCACATTACCATAATAATCATTGCGACATCGAGAGCACTACACCTTTTTATTGCAGTCCGCCGCGTGTTTTGTTGCCGGCTGCATATTTCGTTTTTGAGAGGCAAGTGCAGCAGGGAATAACTCGCCAGTGCTTCTGTTCCGTCGGGTCGACGTGGGCATAAATTGTGCAGTTTTGTGCCAACCTGCTGCCGAGAATTTACGAGGCCGAATAGCCGCTAAACCGGACAGACATGATTTGTGCAAATTATCGTGGAGAGACCACCACAACATTGAATTTCAGTCTTTTTTTATAATGCTGAACCTTTTTTTCAATTTGTCATTATTATAGTATCCTTTAAATGTCAAATACAAAATTTTGAATTGTTGTTGAGCAGGAAGACAAAGATTGAACAGACATAAAAATTTTAAATTAAACAATTGTTTTTGTGAAAATTTTAATTGTAACAAGATTAAATAATTTTTTGGCAATAATACTTTTTAATGAAGATTAAATTTAACATTATTTAGTTTATTTATCTAAAAATTACATTTAAAAAATTAGAATAATTTGATACACTTTATATACATAGATATTAAGCTTAAATGCGTCGGATTTATGAAGTTTTATGATTCCTAGATAATTATTATTACAATTTTTACTCATCATGGAAAATAAGAGTAGTAGCATATGAAAATGTAGTAGCAAATTGGTTAATGAAATTGGCGCAGACGTAATTATGGCTGAATTTAAAAACATATTGTGAATATAATAGAAACTCATGAAATTCAAATATCAACTAAATCTAAATTTAAAATCAAAATTAAGAAACTTGTTGTGTACAGAAATACAGAATTGCTGAAATTTTATCCTGCTGTGAAAACTTGAAAATATTCTAAAAATATTAAAATTTAAGAATTTTTTTCTTTTCAATTCTCTCTAGTTTAAATACATAATATGTGGGAAAGTAGAAAAAAACCCATCATGAACTTCACCAGTATAATAAAGAATGAAAAGTCATGCATGACCTGAATAGATGTTGCGGCGCAATTTTCACTCTGGCGCGGCTGTTCAAAACCGGCACCAACGAAATTAATTAAAATCCGGAACAAAAAGAGCGGATTCCAGCATCAGAATTTTCATTGGCGCCGTTGCCAGCAGCATAAAACATCATACACAGTATGCACCCGGCAAAAAAAAAAGACCAGCGGGTGTGATGCCAAAAAAAAGGGCAACCGAGTGAGTGCCTCCGGGGCTGCACTCCCACTCATCTCTCTGCCCCCGTTTGCTAAAAGGGCTGCATGAATTGACTGCCGGCTCGGCGGGTCGCCCAATCTATTCCTCCATTCCGCAAACACGGGTGCATATAAATATGACATCGGATGGAGAATTTTTCATCTGAGGGAATGTCGGATGAGTTAATCAGAATGAAACTCTGCATGAAAAATGAAATGCGAGAGACAACTTTGATGCAGCCAGTTGAGCTGCCGGCTTATTTGCATAATTGGTTAGTGGCTTGTTGGATCAAACACCTTGTTCTCGCTTGACTTTGCAAATTTGTTCAGCACACCAGCATGACATGAAAAAAAGTTTGCTAAAATACGTTCAATGATGCTCACAATTTTAAGAAAGGATTTGTCAGATTTGTCACGAAAATGCAGTTTTCGTTTAATTTTAAGCATTTTACTAACTAACTACACGCGCTATTTCTAAAACTAGTTATTGGTTTACATTATGAAAGCTATACTTTCACAGTTTGAATTAAATTTTTCATTAACTTTTGGAATTGACCTGGAAATGAGTTACAAAATTTCCGCAAATGAGAATCAATGATGTTAATCCAATTTAATTGATGTATTTATTTCCTGCAGTTTTTCAAAAATTTTCAGATTTTTATATTTTATTTATTGGTATTTTTGCTTTAAAAATCAGTTAAAGAAGACATTTTTTGTATTTTTTTTTTAATGTTAATATCTAAACAATTAGCCATTGATTTATTAGGAATAAATAAATCCATGCAATTAGAATTATGGACCGTACAAAAATAAATTAAATGATCTATCATAAATAATAATAATAATTATATTATTCATTTATTTAATATGAAAATTTTAATTGTGTTTATTCTTTGAAGAGTTCACCCGTTGATATGTTGAATTACAATACAAGCTGAAAATTTTGGAGGAGTAACCGCGAGGGAAATTCTTCTCACGCATTTCTCGTGTGACGGCCAACACAAATTTATGGTTATTTTGATTTCACGTGAAAAACCGCAGACGCGCTTCCAATCAAGAAACACTTAAACCATCACCGCGCGCTCAACAAGGTGTAATTTATGTCAAAACAAACTCCCAAGAGCTATCATCTCCTCCTTTGTGCCGAGTGCTGCTGCTTCTCTCTTTTACAAGATGAGAGGAAAAGATCGGGTCGAAAAGTTGTCACCAACACACAGCGTTTGATCTCTTATCTGCGCGACGAGACTCGGTCTTTTGATCCTTTTATTGCTCCCGCGGCCGGTCTACTGGAATTTCTCTCCGTGTGTGGGAAAATATTCGCCTCTCTAGATCCCGCCGCGGCTGTTAATTTCCAAATTATCATCCGGTCGTTGATTTTACGAGTTTGCACCTCGAGAGACTCTCTTCTGCGATTTATTACGAACCCGAGCCGGAGCAAGCCGCCGTGCACTCTCGGGCATTAATATTTCATCTAATTAGCCTCAAGGGCGTCGCGCCGCGCCAAACAGATGCCCACCCGGTTGCATACCCTCGCTGGAGAACACGGGTCTGCTCATTATGTTGGCTCGTGTTTAAGCACAAGAAAATTTCCAAGGGAGCATCAACTCATATTTCATGACCACCTTTTTGTACCACAGTTAATTATGAAATGGGAAGCTCAGAACAGCGGTTTGAGTGACATTAATTAGCGGTGAAAATGATATACAAAAAACTTCCCTCTTTTTGTTAAAATTAAGTTGCAAGTATAAAACCCAGAGCTGGCAAGTGTATAAAGTACAGCTTACTCAGCACCCATAACAATAAAAACAAAATATGTACAAGAAACGAAAAAAAAAATCGGCTTCGGAGCAATATAAATTATAAATATAGATAATTGCCTTCTGATACAATCAATAAAGGCACTTTGCAACTAAATATTATATTAATAATGTATCCCCTGAATTAATAAATCTATTTTGATAATAAAAAAATACAATACTATCCGTAATTAATTATAGGTTATTGGTCGAATCTGAATTTCTGATAAATATTGAAGACAGTCTAAATTCTTCAACATTCAAAAATGGAAAAATTATTGATATGCACGAAAAGACTCGTTTTCCTAAATAAAGGTTTGGTGAACTATTTCTGTAGAAACTATAAGTATGATAAAGCATTTGCAAAACGACCCATCTTTTAAAGTTATACATTTTGACTGGAACATTCATTCAAAATAATTTATAAAGATATACAAAATAGTATACATATAAAATAAAGATTGTAAGAATAGAAATTGAAAATTGGAATTTTTTAATAATCTATTTTTATAGTTCTTTGTTCTTTGTTATAAATTTCATTTGGTACACTTATAAATTTTATTTTCAACTAATCTTAACAAAATTCTTTGGGCTAATTTATCATTTTGGGTGTATGAAATGAGTAAATTTTATAATGAGCCTGCAACAAAATACAAGTGTTGGATTGCGTCAATTTGGGTGTAAATGAAACACTCTCTGCTCCGTAAAATAATCTGTGCCAAAATGGAGCAACCGACCTGCTTTTCCACACTAATCTGCTGCTCGCCGGTGTGCAGTAATAATGAAGCACATTATGCGCGAAGCCGCTTAGTCTCTGTGTTCTTTAATAAAACGGCAAACACGAAGGTATTCACGGTGGCGGTCTGAGGCCAAAACACTGCAGCCCTTTTGCAGCTGACAGCCTGTTAAGGCACTTTGTCTAACCGACTTGCTCATCAGCCCTTTCAGCTGAGAGATTTTGCAAGCCCAATCACCGGTGCGCGGGGCCCTTTTCAAAACCGAATTATGTGTGCCTCAATTTTCGCAGTCTCAGAGGAACGCTTTGGCTAATTACTCGGCTTGTGAGTACACATGCACATATTTTAGCGTTGCTCTTGTTTTTACGCAAAGTCACACAATGGTTGCATTGATTATTACAAAATATTAATTCCAAACAGCAAGTCAAAGAGTCTATACAAATACAGAATCCCTCCATTAAATTATTTAAAACAAAATAATTGAGAATAATAAGTAAAGAATATATTTATTTGTTTGTGATATTTTAGTTAAAAATCAATAATTTGATTTGCATTATTGAAGCAAAATTTAAATTGTACCGATTCAACACCTGCCACACTTAAATTCTTAACAAGTATTGTTTTATTTTAACTCATTAGTAATTCAATTAAAACAGAACATTCAGTTTATCAATATCAAACCCCATGAATTAAATAGCCGTCGTCATTTTCACTGAAAGCTAAAATAAAAGCTGGATATCATGTAGCTAAAAAAATCAAATCAAGTTTTTATAATTACATTATGATGAAACACACTTTTGTGCTCTAGTTATTATTATTAATTTTAATTAAGTAAAATCGAATCGCATAGCATTTTGTTTGATAGATTTAACTTATCTATGAAACATTCTTTGATAGTAATCAAGACGGTTATTCAAATATTGATCCCAATATTATTTTACAAAGAATTTGCTGGAATTTGCAAAGCTTTTTCACAATTCCAAATTTAAAAATATCTTGTTTATTTATTTTCATTTAAAATGTGAAGTAATTCAGATTCAACCTGGAAAATATTTCCTCTCACTGAAGGATGAAGAATTTTTTTACAAAGTCAGTCTAGAAGTCTCATTTGTATTCGCTGGACTTTTTCAGCCCTTGGCCCTTTTCGCCCACGCCTTTGTGTTTTTTCTAAGCTTTGCTTCTTTCTGCTTTCAGCCCTCACGTGCTTCACGTGCGTCAACGTGTCGGACAATGAGATTTGCAACCAGTACGCGATCGACCGGCCCTGTCCGGCAGGTAAGAGGCTTTTTTCTCATCCCTCGCTTTCACTTATGCCAAGTACTTGTTGTACGGTTTGATTAAAATGCAGTGACACGTCTGTGGGGAGCGAGATAATTGCCCTCGATAAACCATGCAGTGAGTAGTATTAGGTGCGATGGACACGAACACCGCATTATGTGTACTGAGCACACACGCTCGGCTTTTAATCAGGGTCCATTTGACCTACTGCCTGCGTCTGCCAACGGTCGCGGGGTCACGTTTGCTGGCAGCCCCATTGAGTCATCAACAACGGTCTGCTGGAGACGCAGACCAACCGGAAACTAATTTTGTTTGCAAGTCAACTGATGTTAAATTATCTAGTGCATTTTTTATAGTAATGATGTTAATTTAAAAAATCCCATTCTTATTTAATTTTTTTAATTAAAAATTTTGCACAATTATATTTAAGGAAGATTTATTTCTACAGCATTTTTAGGTTCACAGAAAATTCCACCATAATAATTACCGCAATAATCATCACTCCAGCCGCCGTCAACAGGGGTGAAGTCGAGACATATACTCGGAAACGCCGTCCACTCCAAATTGGGTTGATTCAATGCCCAACGGTGCTCGGTGATTTTGTGCCCAGAACCCTCCCAGCGCCAATCGGTCGAATTCACCCTCTCAGCTCCAATCCAGAACCAGTCGTAGAAAAAGCCTGTTTTATTTAAATTAATCATAATTTTTTTTTAGCAAAGCTAAACGAACCGTTTGATGAGGCCCAGTTTTGAATAATATCCCATTTTTCCAATGTCTCAAAAGTTATCAGCTGCATCTTAAGTGCCTTACAAGTTGCTGAAGCGTTGTCTCTCAACGCGTAATCATCTGTCTTGATGTAGTACTGGTCACCGTTAATGTCGACATATCCGTCATATGGAACCCCTTAAATGGAGCAAATCGTTTACTATAGTTGAATATATGCAAAAGAAAAACCCTCACGTGGTACGCGGTCGCTGAAAGTCGTTGAAAAATGTACCTGAATTTTTAATCATATTAGAAAAATTTTGTTGCATTAAATAACATTAATCTTGTAGTTTTTTTTATGAAAAAATCAATCTTGCCATCACAAATTAAATCAGAATGGCTCAAAGTTTTCAATTTGACAATACATTTAATTAAAATAAACTTACCTGCAGAATCAAAAAGGTAACTAACAATACAAGCTTGAAGAACATTGTGATTAGTAATGTGACTTTCAATCTAAACTCCCGTCATTTATAGAAATTACGTTCAAGAGATAATGACGGTAAGAATGTTTTAAATATTATCGGATTATCATGATCAGTTCAAGCAGTCCAAGCTCAATTTATATCAGACATGTCATTATTTTTCTGTATAATATTACTCTGATATTTTGGGCAACCATTTTAATTAATTTTACACTAAACTTGTTAAATAAAATATTTAACATGCAACAGATTTATAAGCATAAATGCAAAAAGTTATACTCATTTCAATATCAATAATTAAATCAAAACGCAGTAAAATAAAAAGAAGTTATATGCTAGCTAATTTATTCGCTATAATTATTTTTTGTTTTTAAGAGCTGAAAAAATAGTAAAATTTAATGTAAAAAATAAAATTAATATTTTTTTTTAATCTACCATTTTAGTAAGCAATAAAAATCATGTCTTGCGTTTCAGAATGTCATATCAAATTAACAGTTTAATCAATGAAGTAATATTTTTCTAATTATTCACAAATGTATCCCAGGCTGTACTCAAGGCAGTTATCATCGTCCCATCCAAGGGACCAAAAGCTGAAACTAATGCACGTTCTTATTGTGTCATTGTTAACTGTCGGCTCGTCTGGCGCCCACCGGAAATACGAGATTTCCTCGCCAATAGGTTCCCAAATCCAAGTTGAGGAGTTCTCATTTTTCAGTGCCCCAGACCACATCCAATCATACTCATGACCTTCAATTTATCCATTTTAATATGATTAATTTAAATTTAAATTTTCCAAACCGTTGTCATAAAGCCACTGAACAGCGTCATCATACTTTTGTTCGGTTTGGAAAGAAATCAAATTCATGTCCCTTGATATGCACTCTGCTTGCGCGTCATCTCTGTGGGTAGGGGTTGTATCGATGAAGTACTTTGTCCCATTTACATGCACAAAACCACGAAAATCTGCAACTTTAAAATCAATTCTCGTTTTATAAGGATTTTTTTTATTAAAATTTTATAAATTTTGAGCGTACTTTTCTCGTTCCTTTCATTATCATATCTACTTTTCTGTCCCTGGACCTGAAATTTATAATACGAATTTGAATCCTTTGAATTTTCTGATTTTGAAATTCCCTCGAGGCTTTAATGCAAACCCTACCTGAATAATCGTCAGGAGAATAAAAATCCATAGAAAATGGACAGCTGCTGCGCCGGTCATTTTGGTAGCCATTGTGATAAGAAGTTATCTTGAGACGTTGATGTAAAAAATAATTGATTAATTGCAATTTGCATACCGGTTTGTGATTCCACTCTTTGATAATGTGTGTGGAAAAAAAACCAAATGAAAATGTTATCGAGTTACTTTCTCAGTTGGGTACAACTCTTTTCTTTTGATGCTGTTATTTTGTATGTGTCTATCTGGTTTCTATTGTTCTTAAGAGTATTAGCTTGTTAAATTAAAAATTTGTTATAAATAGAGATTTAAAAAGTTGAATTGAATTGAATTCCAAAAAATCGCGGTTAATAATAAATAAATTAAACAATGAAAAAATGAAAGATATGAATTTTGGAAATAAGCTCAAAATTTCTTCTTCAATGATCGATCAAAAATTTTTAATGTTCTCGACGTGAAAAAAAATCATAATTCATTCATAATTAAGAATTATAAGTGATTTTTATGAAAATATTAATAATAAATTACATAAAAAAAATCAAAATTAAAACTTGATTGCACATAATTTTTTTTTTAATATTGACAAATGTAACCTAGTAAATAATTATTGCAGTTGTCATCATCCCATCCTTGGGACGCTGCGCTGAAATCGATGCACGTTCTAATATTGTTGTTGTTCACTGATGGTTGACCTGGCGCCCACCGGAAGTATAAAATTTCATCGCCGGTAGATTGCCAAATCCAAACTGAAGAGTTGTACTCTTTCAATGCTCCGGTCCACACATAATCATTTGAAATACCTTGCAACAAAAGTTTAAAAAACTATAATATTAACATACTAAAATATCATACCATTGTCGGAAAGCCATTGAACGGTGTCGTCAAACTTTTGCTCCGTTTCAAAGTTGATCAAAGTCATGTTCCTGGCCTCGCACTCTGCTTGCGCATCATCTCTGGTGACAGTTACGACTGTTTCAATATAATACTGGGTCCCATTCACGTCAACATATCCTCGAAGCTCTGCACCTTTTGCATGCAAAAAAAATGTTAAACTAATTTGCCGCCTTTACCTTTCCCGTCCTTTACCTTGATCACCTTTGCTTTGTCCTATAGCCTGAAATTAAGTTAAATGAATTCATAATAAAATAATATAAAGGTCCCTATAAATGACTAATAGTTTTTTTTTCATTAAATCTTACTAGGACAATTCCACAGAGAGCGCATAAAACAAAAAGAACCGTCTTGCTGGACATTTTCGTACATCAATGATAAGTTATCTCCACTTGCAAACTCTTAAAAATACCACACTTGTTAAGTTGGTGTACTCTGTAATTATCATTCTATGCCTTTCAAAAAAAGAAGGAGCACACAGAAGCACTTTCTATGGCGAGTTCAATAGTGATTAAATGATATGATTTATCACATTGTGATTTAATTTTCGGTTCTTAATAATTTGGTTACAAATTATTTTCAATGAAAAATATTTCCATCATGCAAGTTTTATTTTTAGTTTCATTACACCATGCTTCTCACTACATTAAAAAAAAAAAAAAAACTATGAATAAGTTGTTCGCAAGTATGGCTAAGAGATAAACTAAGACAGTCGTCAACATTCTCATTTAGAAATTATGCAACCAGAAGCCCATTTTTTTGTGGCTGGCCAATGAATAATTAGAAATAATTTAAATCAATATTTCTCTGCAGTTGTCTGGCAAACAATCCAATCCGACGCTACTGATGAGATAGTTTGCCTTGCGCATTCCATAAAAAAATTTAACCTATATTTTAATTAAATAATAGAGCATTGATTAAAGAAGTAATAAGTAGTAGTAGTTGTTGTAATGTCATACAAGGATCCTTCGTTCATATAAAAGACCCTTTACGTCGCACCTCCTGTTACTGCTGATTACTCTAAAGCCTGGATGAGATTTTCTGCCATAATATATTTTTCCTTTTCGTCAAATAATATAAGAATCTAATTTTTTAATGGACAATCACCATCGACGTCATCTCTTTTGAATCTGATTGCAGTAATCAAATATGATGCAGTTCCACTTATCTCCACACACTCCTAATAGTTTCCTAATTTTTTGCGAAACTTTTTTAAATGATTCTATTTTTTATTAACTCGCTAACGAGATTTCTCTTATGAGAAATTTCAAATTTATATCAGTAATAATTTGTAACCGTAAAAAAATATATATTTCCTGCAGAACTTTGAATTATAATTTAATAAGTAACATATGAACATGAGGATGAGTGGAGGAATGAACAGTAAAAATAAATGTAACTCTCCTCATTGTTAACAAGAAAGATAAACCCCTCTTATTTTATAATATTGAGTTTTCTCATCATCAACTTTGGAGGTTCTCATTACCCCCATCTCTGGATATTGATTTTGCAGAGAAGCTTAAGAAAATAAGGAAAATGTGGAGAATATTTTCTCCTTTTTTTATTTGTTCAAACTGATGATTTGTAATTTGAAATTCATAGCAATTTCAGAATTAAAAAACAGTATTATTAGATTGATTTCAATACGAATACAGGAGATTTTAAAAATCAGATTGAAATATAATTATTGTCTTGTGTTGATTTATTACAATTGTTGAGAGAGGAAAGCAAAATAAAAGATATTTAGATAATTTCATTTGCAAATGTAGCCAAAATAGTAATTGCTGAGGCAGTCATCGTCGTCCCAACCTCCAAAGTCCAGATTGAAATCTATGCAAAAACGTGATGTGCTTCCATTTCCCGACGGTTGGTCATGTTCCCAGTGGAAATCGGTAATCGGCTGTCCACTTGATTCCCAAATCCAGGTTGGTGAATTTTCTGGCCTTAAACCACCCGTCCAGAACCAATTGTTTGAAAGGCCTTTATTTGATGAAAATTTGTTAAAATGTCGTAAATTGTATTTAAAATTTGAACCATTGTTTCTCAGCCAAGAGGCAACGCTCATCCACTGCCCTCCCTCAAACGAAACGAGGTTCATGCCTCTGACCCTGCATTCACTGAACGCATTTTCCCTATTTACAAATCCAGTAGAAACGTAGTATGTAATTCCCTCAATCTCTACATAATCGCGGAAACTTCCTAAATTAGTCTAAATTAGGTTTTCATTTAAAAATTTTGAAATATGCATACCTTCCGACTTGTTCTCCAGTCCTAACGAAATCTAGGAGAGAAATAATAACAGAATTTATTCACACATGTCCTGGTACCGGGAATCACGTGTTTGTCCATAAGCATGTGACATATGAGACAGACACGAAATTTTGGTACCATGACGTGTATTTTTACTCCTTTTTTTATACCTGCAAAACACTGGAGAAGATAAATACCAGGTGAAGCGCATATCTGCAAGTCTGTCTCCCAAACATGGCGATTGACTGATTTTAAAACTGTGAGAAACATTTGTTTCTTTCATATTTAGCTATTTCCCCACATTTCAAGTTCATAACTTATCTGTTTGGAGACCTGTTGATATAGATTTTGTCGAATATTCACTCGGATGAAACAAAAACTCCTTATCAGTGAAAATGACACAACAATTTACAAATGTTAGAAATCTTTCATAAAATTACAAAAATTAGTAATTTTTTTTTTTATTTTATAATTATTTCAATTTCATTTTTACAAATAAGAAATTAGTAATGGTTGTCTGAATAATTCTAAAGAGGTTCACAAATGTGCCCCAACGAATAATTAACGCATTCGTCGTCGTCCCAGCCACCAAAGTTGACGTTGAAATTGATACAAATGCTGGTGGTCTTATCAGCCTCGGTCGGCTGCCCGGCAGCCCAGAAAAATTCACCAATTCCCTCGCCGGTCAACTCCCACTGCCAAGTCTGCGAACCGCTGGGTCGCAACCCGCTCGTCCAAAACCAGTCTTTAACAAAAGCTGCATCGGGGAAGCAAAATTAGCTTTGAATTTGGGTTCTGCTGACTTAAATAAAAATTAAGCTCACCACTTCCGAGAATCCACGAGCTGACCGACTGCCACTCGCCACTCCGATCAAATGAAATCAAACTCATGTTTCTCGATTGGCAGTCAATTTTGGCTGAATCTCTTGATTTAAGTGCTGTACTGATGTACAAATCAGTCCCATTAACATCCACATACTCGTTGAATATAACTTTTATAATCTTGTTTAAGTATAAAAAATAAAAATTTTCTAGTTATTTCAGTTACCTTTTGATTCTATAGCCTGAAATTAAATTTTCTAGTCAAATTTTATTCATGGATTAAAAAAATTAAAGTGATTCACCTGGATTGTAATTAAGATTGTTGCCACTGAAAACAACGCTCCTTTGCCCAACATCTTGACTCAAGTGGCTGTTAATGGTCCCTTCTAATCTTTAATCACCAGATGTAAATCATATATATCTTATCTCTTTTCGGGGTATTTTTTTAATTAAGAAAAAAAATTAAAAAAAAAAAACACAATCAATCTTTCAAAGGTACCAAAATTTTGCAATAATATTTATTAGTTTTTTTTGTGGATTAGAAAAAAAGAGAAATTGATTTAAAAAAAAAAAATAAAGATTTGAAATAAGGTCATCTTTGAAGCCCTTATTAATCCAACACCCCACAGAGCATTTGTTCTCAAAGCAAAAACTGCTCTTTCCTCGCTCTCTCCACCAGCCTGACACTCCATCCAATTTTCACATAACTATGACCCGCTTTGTCGAGACAAAGGATGATGCATTTGCCGACACCTAGCTCTGACTTCTATCAGAGCGGAGCAACGGCTGCTCACATTCTCAGACTGTGAAACTCAATAGCTCTCTCTGTGTACGTGTATTTCATATTATGCAGCAGCTCCCTTTGCTTAAAAAGAGATGTTGCTGCACTGCTCGCGTCTGTCCGACGACCACGTTTAATATTAAATCCGCTTGCACTATAGAAAGTGAAGCACATGCACGAGTGCCACCCATTCCAAGCAAGATAACAGGGTCGTCCGTAAAAAGTCTGCCACCGGTTGACGTCGCAGAAAAGAGCTCATCAACAATTTATGGGCAGACTTTCCACAGCCAAGAGACACGTGCCTTACTTTTTCACTCCAGACAGACATTTTTTATGTGTGCAGATTTTGAAAGGTGTCTCCTCTAGCAAAAGTCCCTTGACAAATTATAAATGCTTGCTGAAGATCTTGTAATAATTTTTCCGTCATTTATACTGTTCATGCCATTAAATACACTCTCCTCTCATTCAACGTTCAATTGACAACAGATTATTTTGAGATTTAATTTAGACTTTCATTCTCAAAACTTAAATTTTTTCTCCTATCTTAAGACATATTTAAACCATAGAAAAAATTAAAATAAATTAACAAAATAGCCAGAAATAAGCAAAGATTAAAATTGTTTAGTTTTATTAAATTATTATTATTATTATTTAGTATTATTCGAGACAAATTATTTTTTGAGATAATTATTTTAATTAAGATCTATTTATGTTTCACAAAATTCAATATTTTCTAGTATATAATCCACATGGTCTATTGTTGATCATCTCTTCTTCCAGTTATGGTGACGGAATACAACCCTATATTTTGATTCCAAATTAAAATAAATATTGAACAAAAACTACACATATTATTAAGAAGCAATGTATTATAAAATGAACAAACAATCTTTAAACCTCCATTGAATTGCATTGATGAATAGAATCTACTTAATAGTCAGACAAATTAATAATGTAAATCATAACACTCTGACTTAGATATAATTATTATTATTTTAAACTCATATAAAATAAAAAAATTTAAAACTTCAAACATTATTTTTATGTCATTTATGGTGAGGTTTTTAGAAACTATTTGTCACAAATCCAAGTGAGTAACGCAATAAAATATTAAAAAAAATCCTTTCCTCTTTTTCGAAGTGGTCGTACCTTCCTTCCCTCAACAAAGGGCCATTCATCCCACCAGCGACAAATGAAGACGCATTACTCCCCCGTGTAATTACCTCTCCGGCACATATACAGACTCTGCTTTCCACTCTGCACGTATACATTTGTGCGGAGCTGTTTTATTTCGCGCAGCTGCGACCGTCAGGGCGAAAATCCGCAATTTAATTAATTTGTCCTCGTGTCACTCAGAGTGAAAAGCGACGGCCGACTTTTTCCAATTTTTTACTAATTGCCGCCTTTCGTCTGTTTGCAGGGAAAACTTTTTGCCACACGCTGCACGCGATGGGACAACTGGGCGATAGCTGGTTGGTCAACAAGAAATGCGCCGACCGCTCCGAGTGCACCCAGGCCGCCGTCGGATGCTCCAGAAGCGACGGACAAACGGTATATTATTTATACATCATTTAAATTTTGCCTAATTTTCCAGCAGTCCTATTAATTTTGCTTAGCAGTGGGAATAATGCGCTAAATGAGTCGCGCTGCTATGCAATTTTGGCAAGGCCGCTGCTGAAAATTAGTTAATTACCGCTGTTTTCCCAGCGTGGCTCCAAGCTGAGTGCGTTTAGCTGTCGCTCTTTTGTTAAAACACCCCTCTCAACTCGGTTTCGAGAAATTACACATTTTCAAAACTTAATGATCAAATTACACCCAGCTCAACCAAGTATATTTATATAAGTAATAATAAAAACAATATAAAAAATAATAATAACAAACCAGGTTTGTGGAACAAAGTAAAGTAGAAAATGGAGAAGCTTTAATGTAATGTTCAATCAAATGAAACATAAAAGTAAAAAAAAAATACAACATTATCGAGGAAAGATTTATGAAGTAATATTGAACCTTCGTTTATAGTAAAAAATCATTACAAAAATTTTTATTTGCTTGTGCATTTCTCAAAACAACTAACAATCTGCTAGAAATATGAACCCGTCTGCACTTATTTGGTGGAAAATGAATCTGGTGGGCTCTGGATTTGTTCTCTCACAGCAATTATAATGAATCTCAATTAGCAAAGCTGGGGCAATGCTAATTAATTAGCAGCCGAAATAATATCGCGAGTTGTTGTTCGGTGCGGCAGAGCGAGTGCGCGAAATGTATAATGAGAGGCTGCTCTTGACATGCCGAGTGATTTTGACCGCTGATGCAATTAGTTCTGTTTCAAGAGCTCGCGTTCAACATACGCATACTCTTCAATAATAGGAACTTCAATGTTAATTAATTTCGAGATTCAGTTATTCAGATGTATTTCATTTTTAACTTTGCACTGCCCACTTCAATTATTGCTAGAAAATGCAATGGTAAAATAAAGGATGAATTGTAAAATAAAATTGTATACATTTATTTGTTTACTTTACAAAATTATGAATAAAGAATACAATTTCAAGTTGAATAAATTTAAATTTTTAGAGATTAATTTTTGTTAGTGCCACTCTTTCCCTCATGACTTTGACGTTAAAATTGGTGCTATTCTTGAGATTATTGAAAAATACTCCTTCTAAACTGAGAAATTGAAATTCAGTAGAATTTTGTTTAATTCATCCTTATTAAAAAAGACGGCTCAAATGAATGATATTGATAAATGAAGTATAGTAAGAAGTTGATAAAATAAATTGATTGGTTTAGTGGAAAATAAATATACCAATTTAAAGTTGAAAAGCAATTTATTTGCAAAAAATGTATCAAATTATTCGCAAATGTATCCCATTATAAAACCATCGCAGTAATCATCATCCCATCCCTGGGATAGACCGCGGAAATTGATGCACAATCGATCCTGATTGCCGATTTCCGATGGTTGGTTCGGTGCCCACCTGAAGTACGTGAATTCCAAACCAGAAGGTTCCCACAGCCAATAGATAGAGTTAGCCACTTTCAGTGCCCCGGTCCACACCCAGTTTGACGCAAAACCTTTTAATTAATTCATAAAAAAATTGTTTATACAAATTGTGATAATATTCAATCCAGACCATTGTCAGAGAGCCACTGAACAGTATCGTCAAACTTTTGCTCGCTAGGGAAGGAAATCAAAGACATATTCAAAGCGTTGCACTCTACTTGCGCCTCATCTCTATAGAGTGGAGTAGAAGTTTCAATGAAGTATGAAGTCCCATTCACCTCCACATAGCCTCGGAACTCTGCGCATTTAATAATAGTAATCAATTTAAACATAGTTATGGTTTTAATTTTTACGCCTAACCTTTGCCACGATCACCCTTTGTCTGTCCGCGGGACTTGAAATTTATATAAATTAAATAATACATAGATTATGCATTGTTTCCACTCATGTCAAGTAAATTTAAATCTTACCTGAACAACTACAAGGAGGGCAAAAACCCCAAAAAGAAGAGCGAATGCCTTGCTGGACATTATGTTATATCAATAACCTCAATATTAATATCAAGTAATATTTTTGATTGATTTTAAGACCTTATCTTGACATGTCAATGATATTTAATTTTGTTTGTCTCGAGTAATTATCTTTTGCATTAATCGAGTGAAGTTGATATCTTCATATTTCTTGGGAGGGGATTGAACAGATAATTTAACTCTTGATATTTATTGAAGCCAACAACACCTAATTCATAATAATGTCCAACAATCTCTTTTTCTTAAATAATTGTTTTTCAAAAATTGAATGTAAACAATGTGTTTGTAACAATGTGGACAAATAAACAACAATAGTAACAATTTCAAATTTCAATAGGAAATTGGAACCGCCTAAAATTTCAAATAATAAAACAGTTCAAGATCAATTACTTTACATTGTTTGTAAATGTGAATAATTTAAAACAATTTAGTAAAAAGTCTGCATTCATTTTTCGTAGAATAAGCTTTTTATAATAAACACAATAAAATTATTCACAAACGTATCCCAGTAAAACCGAATCGCATTTGTCATCATCCCATCCCTGGGATAAAGCGCGAAAATTGATACATATTGCAAATTGATCAATATCAAATGTTGGTTGATTCGGGGCCCAACGGAAGTACGTAAATTCCTCTCCATTAGGCTCCCAAATCCAAACGGTAGAGTTTATGCCTTTGAGTGCCCCAGTCCACACCCAGTCCGATTCATAGCCTGTATTACAAAAATTATGCTCAGAAGTTTGACATATTTTTAGCCAGACCGTTGTCAAAGAGCCACTGAACAGTATTGTCAAACTTTTCCTCATCTTGGAAGGAAATCAGCGTCATGTTCAGAGCATTGCAAGCCACTTGCGCCTCATCTCTGTAGACTGGGGTAGTATCAATGAAATATGAAGTCCCATTCACGTCCACATATCCTCGAAAATCTGAGCGTCCAATTTGCTATAGTTTTTATAAAAAAATCTAAGTCTCACCTTTGCCATGATCACCTTTTGTCTGCCCACGGGACTTGGACAAAATTAAATCAAATTTGTGTATTATGAGCAATTAATTTTGTTTGTACCTCACATAGAGTGATTGAAACGAGCGCGAAACACCCTAAAAGAAGAACAATTGCCTTGCCGGACATTGTGGTAGCTCAATATTAAACCTTATCACGCTTGACACGTTAAAAAAAAAACGATATCGCGTTGCATATCTGTTGATATGCAAAATGCGTAAATTTTAATGCCAGAGGGATTTTAACAGGTATTGAAGATTACTTTCTCTATCTTACAAAAAGATTAATAATATATTGCCACATTTGTCATTTTTATGGAGAATTGAAATCAATCATTTATTGCTTAAAGGTCAATAGATTAGAGTTAAATGTGAGATTGAATGATCGGCTGCATTTTTTCAGTTGAATGAGCTTTTTAATAGCAATCAAACAATCAAATTATTGACAAATGTATCCTATTAAAGCATTATTGCAGTAGTCGTCATCCCATCCCAGGGAGAGCACGCGAAAATTGATGCATAATGGATATCGGTCGTCGTTTATAGATGGTTGGTTTGAACCCCATCGGAAGTATGTGAATTCCTCGCCAGTTGGTTCCCAAGTCCAAACGGAAGAGTTTGTCCCTCTCAGTGCCCCGGTCCACAGCCAGTTGAATTCATAGCCTTAGAGATTAAAAATTTTTGATTCGAATTGTAATATTTTTATAATTTAATCCCGACCGTTGTTATAGAGCCAGTTGTAAACAACATTGTACTTTTCCTCAGCTTGAAAGGTAATCAAAGTCATGTTTAAAGCGTTGCACGCTACTTGCGCTTCATCTCTATAATATTCAGCAGTATCGATGAAGAACGTAGTCCCATTCACGTCCACGTATCCTCGGAAATCTACATTTATTTTAAGATCCATTCAACTTGCAACACGTGGTTTATGTTTATAAGCTATAATTTACCTTTGCCTTGCCCATTCTTGATATGCCCATGGGACTAAAATTTTTTACAAATAAAATAATTTCTGTCTTTGATTTCAATCATACACATACCTGAGTAATGGCAAAGAGCGCAAGAAGAACCCCAAAAAGAACTACTGCTTTGCCCAACATTTGGAGGTTCAATTAAAAGAGCTTATCTTTGCCACTCCAAAGCTATAAAAAAAAATGAACGTAGTGTTTTTCTCAAAAAAATTATCTTGTTGATCTACTCACTTATGATCCACCAGGTGGCCAAAAAAACAAACAAAAAAATATTAATTAGCTGTCATATTTGAAAGCAGAGAGATGATAGTTTCTCACAATCAGTACAGATGCAATCGTCATTCATAGTTACTAAAAGTATTTTTCAAAATATTCTAATTAAAATTATTTTCCATCCACTCTATCGCTCTTTTGCGGTACAACAGTAATATATAATAAACTTTTTATTAAAACCATGCTTTATTCATAAAGGTAAGGTGTATGAGAAACTTTTTTATGGTGAGAAAATTAGATTTTGATTTATTACGATTTTTTTCAGTTAAACGAACTTTTTTTATTGAAATCCTTTCATTCACAAATGAATCCCAATAAATATTGCTCGCAATCGTCATCATCCCATCCAGCAGACCTGGAGTTAAAATCCATGCACGTTCTAATCGAATCGTCGTTCACTGATGGTTGGTCCGGACCCCATCGGAAGTAGGAGAATTCCTCGCCCGTAGGTTCCCAAATCCAAACGGAAGAGTTCACCTCTTTCAGTGCTCCGGTCCACATCCAATCCCATTCATAACCTGTATTAAAAAACTTTTAAGACCAGAAATTTTGAGGAAATTTATTCTAGACCGTAAGTGAAGAGCCAACTAACAGTGTAGTCAAACTTTTCTGGTGTTTGATGGAAGGAAATCAATGACATGTTCCTAGCCTCGCATTCTACCTTCGCTTCATCTCTGTGGACGGTGAATGTGTCGATGTAGTACACGGTCCCATTCACATTAACGTATCCTCGCGACTCTGCGCCTTATAAATAATTTTATATTGTATTCATACTTTCCGCGCAAAATGTCAAACTTTACTTTTCCCATGATCAACCTTGGTCTGCCCGTGAGCCTAAAATTTACATAAATTAAATTGCAATCCCTCATAACTTTTAACAATATTAAATTTAATTCAATTTTAAAAATAAACACTTGGAAGAGACGTTCATGAAGTGAAAAACGAGCTAGTGCTTACTGGAAGAAAAAGCAAACATGTTTTTAGAGCAATTATTTTCTTTAATAAAAGCGAGGACTAGTCCGTTTTTTTTCTTTCTTAAATCATCATAATTATCTTACCTGAATAAATACAAAAAGAGCAAATATGCCACAAAGAACTGCAGCTGTCTTGCCTGACATTTTGGTACATCAATGATAGGTTATCATGATTTGTAAATTAAAATAATCCCTTTGGTTATGTTGGTGCACTAAAATTTTCCTATCTTATCTTACAGCAAAAAAGGTTGGTCCTTTTGTCAGTCACGTAGTGCAAACCAATGACTTATCTCAGAAAATATATTGATATAAGATAAAAATGTATTGAAATCAATTATATTATATATGTATGAAGAAATATTTAAAACCTAAAATAAATTTTAAAAAAAAGTATTGGTAAGCGCGATTCTAGCATTTTCAATTTTGTGGAGATGAAAGAAGATATAAGATAATATAATTTATATTTTCAGTTGATCAAAGCTTTTTTATTGGAATAAAACAATCAAATTATTCACAAATGTATCCCAACGAATATTGCTCGCAATCGTCATCATCCCAGCCAGAAAAGACTTTGAAGTCGATACACGTTCTAATTGAATCGTTGTTCACTGTTGGTTGGTCCCAGCCCCATTGGAAGTACGTGAATTCCTCGCCCGTCGGTTCCCAAATCCAAACGGAAGAGTTCACCTCTTTCAGTGCCCCAGTCCAAAACCAATACGTATCATACCCTATAATATATTTAAAAATATCAACTCCTGCAATATTGAGAAAATCTTTACTTAACCGTAGTCAAAGAGCCAATTAACAGTGTCTTCAAACTTTTTCAGTGTTTGGAAGGAAATCAAAGACATGTTCCTAGCCTCACATTCTACCTTCGCTTCATCTCTGTGGACGCGGGATGTTGTTTCGATATAATACTCGGTTCCGGTCACATTAACGTATGATCCTCGCGACTCGGCACCTTAAAAATATACATAATCTTAGAGTTTATATAGTTTCCTTTAATTGTAAATACCTTACTTTTGCCATGATCACCCTTGATCTGTCCGTGAGCCTAAAATTTATAGATTCTGAATCTATTAAACCTTTCAAAACTTAAAAATCTAATGATTGTAAGCATCAGCAATTTTAATTTGAATTCATTTAAAAAAAATTAGCACTTCAATTAATTGATGGAGAGATAGACAGGTATACTGCATGGTAGTCCTGATTGTTGAAAAAAGCATCGTGTTTTTAAAATTATCAAAATTATGATAAATCTTGATTGGGCCCATTTTTATTTTCTTAATATTATTAGATATTAAGAAAATTCCCTGCTTATATAATCTCATTTCTCACATTACTCACATACCTGAATAAACACGAAAAGAGCACAAATGCCACAAAAGAGTGTAACTGCCTTGCCTGACATTTTGGTACATCAATGATAAGTTATCGGGAGTTGTAAGCTGAAATAATATTTTTTGTTAAGTTGGTGCATTTTATATCGTTCTATTCTCCTGAACGTAAAAACGAGATAAATCCAGAATAAGAAAAAATATTGCACTTCAACATCGTTTGCCGATTTATAGTTTTTTATTTAGCAAATTAAATTTCTTATTTTGCTGTGTATTTTTTCTTCAACCTTTTTCACTGTGAAGAACAAATAAAAAAGTATTAAATTCAATTGAAAAAGCTCTTTACAATATTATTTATACACAATCAAATTATTCACAATTTTATATATTTTTCGCAATCTTCATGTTATTGGTTTTGGATTTGACTCACAAATCTGCCGAATATTTTGTGCGTCAATGATAGGTTATCTTGACTTATCATCTAAAATACTAGTTTTTCAGTTAAGTTTGTGTACTAAGTAAGTAAGATCTTTCTAACATGAATGCAATTTTTTTTTAAATATTTTTTATTCTTATGAATCCCAGAAGCTTTCATTAAAGAAAAAATAGATCGACAGATTTCATGAAACTTTTGATACACTTAAATTGCACAGTTCAATTTTTCATTATTATTTGTACTATGACATAGTCTCAGTTATTCTCCTTAAAATTGAGTTATTCGCCATTCATTTCATCATAATTATAGAAGCATAATACCAATTATTATTATCTTTTTTTAATCATTGCAGTGTAGGTATTGGTTGATCGGTATCATCCAATCAATAATTGATGAACTCAAATACCAAATTGAAACATTAAAAACGTAAAAATGTTGATTAATAATTTATAAATTTTTCTTTACAAAGCACAATCGAAGTCGGCACATTCAGCATGAAATATTTAAATAGTATTTTTATTTTGTTTCAGTGTTGCTGCAGTGTTGCAATGTTTAATGATTTGAAATAAAATAAATTTAATTACAAAATTTTTCTATTTGCAAAATTTAGAAAATCATGATTAAAGTTTTCGCCCAAAGCTGTTTTATGACTGACATAAAAATTGTTAAATTTTTATATCATTTTTATTGCTTAAAAATTTTCACAAATTAATAAAAATTGCAATTTTTTCAGGTGTGCGTTTCTTGTTGCGACGAGCCGTACTGCAACGAGCCAGTGCCTCGGAATAACTCAACGGCGATTCTCCGAAACACAAGGAACTCTGCTCGAGTCAAAAGTGCGACGGACGCCTCCACTTTGGTGCTTCTCTGTTTGAGCGCGATGTGGGCCAGGTCACAAGTGACCTAGCAGCCCTGGCTGGATCGACTCGACCAAGTCCAGATCGGTGCCTTTCCTGAGATTAAAATAGAACGCTCGGTTTTGAAATAGACTACTCTACTTCTTCCTCTGCGAGTGCTTTTTGTATTTGTAAGAAAAGAAAAGTCTGTTGCCAAAATACCACCTATTATATTAAAACCCTGTTGTTAATGTTGTTCAACTCACACACGCACACACACTAAACACACGAGTGATCAACTTCCGAGAGAAATATTGACCAAAAGTGTGCAGAATGAGAGTCGTCGCGAAATTCGCTTCCTGCCTGTTCAAATAAAAGGGAATTCTCGTCGGCTCTTTTGCTGCCTTGTTTAAACAGAAACTCTCGCGCCGATAAACACGGATATGCTAACTAGTCTCCAAACTAACAAACAAAAACACCCAAACACATTAAAGTATGTATTTAAACAAAAAGCCCACTCACTATATACATGAGAAAATAAAAAGCCCCGCCGCTGTGTGTTAATCAATTTTCATAAAAACAATTAAATGTGCTGATTTTCCCTTTTTTAAAGAATTTTGCCAGTGCAGAAATATGTGCGGGTGCGGCGCCAAACCGATGTCATAAAACTAGTCACACAAACACTGTATAAATGCTGATGTTGTCAAAGGATAAATATAAAATGCTTTGATGAATCAATTAGGACCATTCTGAAGTCAGAATTGTAAATGCCGGCTCGTCAGTGTATATCTGTACAGGATTAAGTTATTTTATTGTTATATTAAAATGGATTGAATAAAATGATTGAGTTATGAGAATATTATCCTTTATTGCGCTTTTTTTCTGTATAATATTTTATATGAAACCTTTTTCGTAACTTTATTATCGTAGCTCAAGATTTAAATCAAGGCGAAACAAGTAGAAATGTATAACTTGAAAAATTTGTCATCAATTTTTTACTTTATTTCAGATAATTCAAATTTAATTTTTAATTTAACAAAAATTAAATTTATTTAACAGTTGCTATTAGAAGTTAATATTTTATATTAAACTTCAAATCAATGAAAATAGCATCAAAAAATTAATATTGAGTTCATGGGCTTAACTTTTAAAAAGATAAGTGTAATTAAAATCCAATTTTATAAAAATAGCAATATGTGTTGATCTTTAAATTATGAGTACCATACCCAAAAGGACCTATCAAGGCAAGGATAATACCTCGAAAAGACAGTATGTTTGTCTACCATGAGAGGACGTTGGCTGTCGCAATCAAGAACGCTCGAGATTGTAAGGTCTCCTGGGTCTCCTCATCATCCGCGCGCATGATACCTCAACACAATTTTCCGTAACTACCACAGGCAGTACTATTTGCTCAATCAAAAAAGCTATATCTCATTATGATCATAATAAGTTATTTATACATGTGAAGTGCTAGTAAGTGCAAGTGAATAATGGATTTTTGAACTTCATAGTTTCGTTAAAAAAAATACTGTACCTAATAACAGGTAATTTTATAAATTTTTAATTAAATGAAATTTGATTACTGTCTTGCAGGTATTGAAATTTTAGCTTTTCTAGAAGAGTAGAATCCATTTAACCTAAAACTTCAGTGCGATAAAACATCAAAGTTGCTAAGTATCGTTTTTTATATCCATTTACTGGCAAAATAAATTAGAAATTATTATAGAATTCAAAATTCAGTAAGTTAACAAGATGGCCCAAGCTAAGGATATTGCGGAAAAATAAATTATAATATAATATGCTTTTGTGCAATTCTACAAATGAGAAGCATTAGGTGCTTGATAATTTTTTTAATCGATTAGTTAAAAACTCTTGTTCAAGAAGCTTCAGGGAATCGAACTTGCACTGCTCAATAATTTCCCCTTTTTTCATAATTTCATTTACATTTCATTACATCATCAAAATTAGGAAATATCTGGAAGACCGATCATTGTGATAAGCAACAAATTTTCGGACCAATAAAAACGTTAAAAATCATACATTAATCAGATTAATCTATATCTGCGTGTGTGTGTCAACACGTGAGCTCCTAAGTAAGTGTGTCTTACGCATCATTCGCACGATGCATGGCACCTTTAAGATCTCCGCTTATTTTTATACAAACATATTATAATGTTTATCTATAAAGTGTGTTGAGTTATGAAACATAATATATAAACCGCAAACTCCTCTATCTGATAAACAAGTTTATTTTTAAGAAGAAAAAACAATTTTTTTTTCAAATTTGCAAGAACAATTAAAAATTAACTTAAAAAACAAGCTACTGCATACCTACGCGCGCAGGTTGCACCGCGAAAGAAATGTGGCACCGCCGCGTCCTGGCGTATCTTCTTTCTTTTGTTGATGTTTCACCTTTGCCGGTGTCGGTACGAAAGTAGATTTTGAGCTGCCGGAGCTGATGCAGTTGTGTAGTTATTCCCTGCGACTTCCGTTCTGAAAATTTCCGCACCTTCAAGACTTCAATCATGGTACGTTTTTAATATCGATCGTCATATTTTTAGCCTAGAAATAACCTTGTTTTTATGCGAATCTCTTCATACCTTCATTTTTATTATTATACTCCATAAACCAGTGCTTACATCATTAATTATAAGCCATTTGTTGTTGGTGTCACATGAGAGCTAACGATGCATAAGTAACAATTCTGGAAGTAAATAAGTTTCTTGAGCAATAATTATTAAAAAAATAAAACCATTGGCAATAGCCACGTAAAAAGCACTAATAAATTATTTGGCTTGTAGCTGGCTAGAGGTGTCCCTTCCACGTTTTATTTTGTCTCAGCTGTTCGTCTCTCCTCTTCTCTCGGGAGAGTTCTCCAACCTGATTCAAGGTTGCCAGTTTGATATTATTTAATTTATAAGAGTAGAAAATCCAGAGCATAAAGTAACCACAAGGCACAAATATATAAGAAGTGATTCCTTGTTTCAAGAAAAAAATGGAGACGATTTTTAATTAAATGATAAATGAGGACAAAATTAATTGGTTTTGCTCTTATTTACACATGAAGAAAAAAAAATTCTTTTGCATTCTAATATCTTTCAACATTATACAAGTGATATACAAGTGTAATTTTTATATTACGCTGTATAGAATGTATACGATAAGAAATAACATAAATGACCAATGTTTCAAATCCTTTTAATGGAAAAAGTGGTTCTGTAAATTTAGAGTTGAATTGCGAAACCTTACTAAACGATTCATATTTATAGCGTACCGGTCTGGGTGAAAAAGTAGCGTGACTAGTGTAATAATGATGTTTATCCCATCATTTAAAAAATAAAATGTATCCTTTTGATGCAAAAATCTTGTGAAGCTTCTTGGATTTTATTTTTTATAAAAAAGTTTAAAATCTTATTGGAAGATTTAAGCGTGAAATTTTCAAGTGCAAGAGATCAGAAGAGTGTCAATGTGCTAAATGCAAAAAGCAAATAAAAAAAGCCTCAGTAATTTTACAGAGGCATCGGAATTCAAAAAGAGGAAATAACCCGTCTTGCAAGTAAGCGCGACGCAAATATCATTTCATTCGATTATGAGCAATAATTTACAAACCGCGCCTTCGAATTTTTCAACACGTGAAAAAAAACTTGTTTTCTTTCGCAACAAATGAAAGAAGCGAATTAATGGAAACGTTAATTTGTTTGAACTTTTAATAATTACACGCTGCATTAAAATTGGCGATGTGGCTTATTTTAATATAATTTGATAATTTTTCCTGGAGAAGTGAAAAGTAGGATATCCTAGAATTTTTTTATTAAAAAAGGCATTGTTGTAGTCATGGTCTGTGATCTTATTTCTTTAACCTAAAAAATTTTATTTTTCTAGTACAAGGAATTCGTTATTTTGATTTTTTTTCAGTCCTTATTTTAAAAAAAAAGTTTCAAAATTTATAATTTGTTTCTTGCTTATAAAATCAAGTTGCAATTCGAAATATAAACTGGCTGGGTCATTTACTTTTTGGACAAGAAATTTTTTTGCAACGAGCCCGCAGTTCTCTCCATAATTTATGAACCTTGCTCATAAAGCTTTCATATGCACAATCAAACTGCTTTTTTATTTTCGGACGGAGGCCAAGAATGCGGATCACATGACAGTACCAATCATGCATGGAGTCTTTTTGTAGTTTGGTCACAATCACGATCATGTCAGTGGCCAAAGCGACGTCCATCACTAAATTTGCGTATTACTTTTTATTTGTGCGCGCCGAGAACCAACTAAAAAGGCACCGGTAGTGATTCTTGTAGCAGCGACATATAGACTTTTGTATTTGTGTTTTGTCCCTTGTTGTTTCCCAATGAGGGTAACTCGATCCCTCCAGAGCGGCGGTCGGTCACAATGCCCCTTCTGCCCCTCCTTTGGCTTGGACGAGGGAACCCTTACGCATGTAGTGGCACATCAGCGCCTACTACAAACCTCGTGACTCGCGGTGTCGCTCAGTTTGCAACCTGGTCCTTCTCGGGAGGCTCATTTTCGTAACTGATTTCCTTTCCTAATTCTTCTCTGTTTCTGCCCAACTCGCCATGAAAGGTAAAATAAAATTATAAATTTCGATTGACTTTTTTGTGGATCATAAATCATAAGATCGCATAATTTTCTATAAAACGTGGCAGATGATGGAGCTATGGGAACACGTTAGCAAAAGGAATAATAACTAAAACTTACGGGACAGTCGGTTACATAACCAAATATTCGACAAATTTTAACATTTTTTTTTTCATTCACAATTTGCAAAGTAAAAAATATAATCTATTTGATTAAAAATAAGACACATTCCTATAGGTTTAAATCTAAATCATAGTTTAATTTTAAGAATATTAATTTTTAAATTTACTGAGTAAAAAAGGCCCTGATATATTTGGCTTGCAATCAAAAAAGCACGTGAAAAAAAAGCGTAATATAATAAAGAATTATTTTGTAAATAATACTGCCAAATATTTAAATGCTTTATTTTAAAAGTTTCAAATCATTTTGTTAATCAAATAAAATTTTCCATAGTTTATAGCAAAAAATTATAAATTTGCTGGAATAGAATCACTAACAAAAATTAAGGGCCTAAATTTTATTTTTGTTGTTTATTTGTCCAAATTGTTACATCACATTGTTTACATTCGTATATTGTTGAAAAACATTTATTTTGGAGAAAAAAGAAATTGTTGGACAAAACGGCACCACCACCAGCAAGAATTTTGCTAAAACTTCCGAGGCCAATTTATTTTGTTTTATAGTACACATGTGTTTTTTTAGAATTTAAATTGTCAATATATTTGTTCCTTATTACGTTGAAAATTTTTGTATACAGGTTTTGCTAGATAAAGAATCTTTTGGAAATCGGATAAATATTGTGCGTGAGAATCTGGAAAGAAAAATAAAGCCATTGTGCTTTTTAGAAAAAGAGTGGTGAATGTGAAATGTAAGAAGTTAACATCCACCTGTGAAAAAAGTAATAAAATCATGTTAGATTTCACTTGTACCAAATACCAAATTACACGATCACGCGCTCATGTTTTTTCTTTTTAAACAAGTTTCCACACGTACAGCATAGTTGAGAGACATGCGATCAAGTTCCATTGGGTCCTCTGAATTATCTTCAACTGTTTGAATCGATTCTAATTTCAAGGAAAATTTCAACCCTTTTCCCTCTGCCGCAATCAGAAGCTTTGATGGGTTCCTCTGCTTTAAATGTGGGTTTAAATTGGTGGTTAAATGTAGACCGGATTATGAATTGTGCCTGAGTTGTGGGTCAAGGTAGTGCCAAATCTTAACTAATAAATTGTAACGATAACGATTTTTTAGAGAGGTTTCTCTTGTGAAAGATAGAATTTCTAGCTTTTCATTCAAAGCGCGCTTTGAAAATCATCCTTCGACACATTAAAATCAATCTAAAAAGAAAGTAACTAAATGCGGAGTCTTGATCTAGTGATCTTGAATATTTTGATTCGCCAAAAGTTGTAAGATTTTTATGTGGTAATCATTAAAATTTCTGTATAAACAAAACCTAAACATATTTCATTAATAAATACTTAATAAATTGCAATTATATATGAATACAAACTTTGCATTTATTAAATTTACAAGAAATTTTAGTCATACTCCAAGAGAAATGGAAACTATTATTTTTGTTTATTTGTCACAAGAATCAAGTAAAAATTATCACCTATACAAAGAGTGGTGAACGTTATTCTTAAAATTGCAGCTTCCGGCTCTTGGAAAATGCAAGTTAACATAAAGGGATGTTTAAGAAAGCTGCAATTGTCACGTTCCAAAACAATCAATTGTTGCATCGCACCTATGCCATTAAACAGAATGTTTTATGCTCAAATATTACAGTCCCACATCACATGATCTGTTCATTGAGTTGAAATTAAGTACACCGTGGCACATGATCTGTTGCAAATTTGGCAAATAAAAAATTCAGATAAACAAGATCTCTAAATATAGCATTTCCAAAACAAAAACTGTAGTGACCCGATTTCGAGTTGCTTGGTGTCCTCTGATAAGCACGTGTGCCGAATATTCAGATAGTCTGCGTGAACCGGTCGGTGGTGACAATCCTTTTAAATCTCTTTGAATTAATCGTCGATGCAAATACGCGTGATGTAAAATAAACACTCGTTGCCAAATATAAATCTGTGAACTTTCTTGCAACAACTTGAACGAGTCATTTAGCCACAGAAGTGTGTGCTATTACGAAATTTGGCGATTATTTGCATGCAGGGGTTGCTAAAAATAACTTTGTCACCAATTTCTCTTTCACTTTTTATGACCTTCCCAATCACAATACAAGAATCCAGTTTGAGCATTTGCTATTATGTGGGCCGCGAAAAAAATCATCTCAAATTACGTGAGCAATATTGTATAATTATTGCTTCTGATTAGAATAATTAAGAGATTATTACGAATTCGCGAGATGTGCGCGGAGAAATCGAAATCCTTGGTGAAGGTCGATTGAATGAAACATACATATTGATAGGATATGACACTCAGCAGCGTTGTCGGTATAATACTATGTGTATGTTAAAATGGCACGGCGCGTGGTGTCGGGTGACGCGTCCGAGGAGGCTCGAGTCTCGAGTTGCGTGTGTTTGACAAGTTGAATTAAGCCACAAACAATTGGATCAGGCAGATTATCTTTGCATGGAATTTTTTTTCTTAAGCTGAAACTGACTTAGAGATTTCATACATTATCAAAATTTATCTACATACATACCTAGATATTATATCTGTTCATTATATTCTTCTTTCTTTGATATGGGTTTCATCTTTAAGGCATCTTATGGTAAAGAGCTCTGTTAAATACAAAGACCAAATTTCACAATCATATTCTTGAAAATTGTTAAAATACGAAAGAAAAAAAAGAAAAATTTAAACATTAAATTAATGTTATTTAAAAGATGAAATATGAGCAAATTTATCTTTCAGCCTTTTTAGCCATTCTATAAATATAGTTAAAAAAATCTTCACCCGAACTTCAAAATCATTTAATAGGAGGACTAAAAATTTAGAGCAGCTATGGAACAACAAAATAATGCAATTATTCCTGTTAATGACAAAGTTGTTCCATTGAATACATTTAAAATAATAGCATCTTATTGAAATAAAGGGAAGAGATTTTTAAATATTTAAAACTAAGTAAAGGATGCTCATGCTCAGTTTGAAAATTTTCAAAATCCAACTGCCAACCATATTGAAAAGCATTAAAAAATCCTAACTTTTACTTCGACTTGTTTGATTGTAACTTGTGTATTTACTATGACTGTATTAAAGCCAAATTTCACCAATCTGCTTTACTTACCATATATTTTTCAAGATTCATTTACGTTTTAAATGGGAATTTGCCGTTTTAGTTAAGCGCAGCTGCAATTTTATTTTTAGATCCTATGTGTGCTGGGTGAGCTGCTTCACATAACTATATTAAAAAAAAAAAATGGTAATAACTTTTAGTACTCTTTTTGCTTCGATCTGCTGTCTTATCTGAAGAATTAATGAGGATTGTTGAAAATACAGAAAATTTACCAGGTGCAACTTTTGCTTCCACATAGTTTGACTCCCATTACCGTTTATTTCTCCTCATCATGTCAATTAAAGCTTGGAGATTATGTAATCGCGTGAGTCGCCAAAAGCCTGATAAAAAGTGATCCGGTTGAGTTAATTAACACAAAATTTATTGCTATAATTTCCCTTGTAAAGTCTAGACGTGGCTTTTACATCTTGTGATCTAATTAAACATTCATTTTATCTGGACCGATAAATATTTTTTCTTCTTACCATTAGAAACAAAAGCTAAATCGGATTAGTTTTCAATTTTGGTAAATAAAGAAATGAATGATCAATGATGACTTTAAAAATGTTAGAAATTACAATTTTTTTTATATTTCTACATTTTTTAATGGAATAAAGTAAAAATTTATGTTATTCCCAAATATTGTCAGTATAGGGGAAAAGTTCTCGTTTTGAGCGTATGTTCTTTATTATCAAAAGTACAAAAATCAAGAAATCCGCCAAAGAAATGCAGAATGCGATTTAAATACAGTGGGTAAAATTGTACGTACAAATATGTTTAAAAATGCAGATTTTCGTGGAAATTTTCAAACTGAAACTTTCAAGAGTTGAACATTTTTGCTCCTTGTTTCAGGTTGCATTTGAAAAGAGACTTGACGATGCCACCACAACGCACGGGGCCCGTGGCCGTGCTGCCGCCGGAGCCTGAAACCAGTGAAGAGGCGGCGCCGCTGCTGCCCCCGGAGGTGCCCGACCGACTCACCATCATGTCCCGCGTCGCCTACGGGGTGGGCCACGTGCTCAATGACGTGTGCGCCTCCATGTGGTTCTCGTACACTCTGCTGTTCATGCATGCAGTGACAGGCATGCCCGGCGCCCAGGCCGGCGCCATCCTCATGCTCGGCCAGGTGGTTGACGCCCTGGCGACGCCACTCGTCGGCATGGTGGCCGACAAACCCATGGCCGGACCCCTCCGCAAATACGGGAGACGGAAAGTGTGTCATCTTGTTGGTGAGGATGATGTTTTGTTAACATTAATAAGCTTCAAATTTAAAATAAAATAAAAAATTTTGTTATTTAGACAGATTATTTACTTTTATCTCCTTAAATCGCAGATGATTATCAATTTCACTCCAAAATTATTTTTATAATTATTTTTATTATTAAATTTTAAAATATTTTGCCCAATTAAATTAATTTTTTAAATTTGTAATTCTAAATTTACTTTTGCATATTTGCTTGTATAAAATAGGGTAAATAAAACATTATCTTTTGATGTTGTATTTATTTTGTATCAAAATAGCCATTACTGATTTCTTCCTGAAATAAATAGAATATCGTTGTTGTTAAAGGTACAATACTAGTGATACTGTCATTCCCCTTCATCTTCGCACCATGCTGGTTGTGCGCAACGCCGATTAGCGTGACCCCGGTGCCAGGGCAGCTGCCGGATCCAGGAATGATGCCTCCGGACACAGTTGACTGGTGGCAGCAAATAATTTACTACGCGCCCCTGGTCACCATTTTCCAAATCGGCTGGGCCGCTGTGCAGATTGCTCACCTCTCACTCATCCCCGACCTCACGGCCAGTGCCCACGGCCGCACAGAACTCACGGCAATTCGGTAAATACAAATTAAATTAAAAATTTGTTTAGCAAATGCAAAAATTCAAATTTATGAAGAAGTTGATAATAAATTTGATCATATATTTATGAAGCATTTTTTTTTTACAATAATTAAAGATTTGTTAATCGGCATAAAAATTAATCTCACCTTGCAATTCACAATTAGCTAATTTTTTACTTACTTAACTCCCATTACTTCGAAAGAAAAATTTCCTCTGCTGAGAATACATTTTTTTTTTAAATTTATACTTGATTTTTTACATCTTTTGAAACTTCAAAATTGAAAAGCTACCCATCATGAATGTTAAATAATTTTTATTTAAGTGGACAAATACAAAAAATTAGCCAGCTGAAAATCGAGCTGGCGTTTTTTTAGAATAATAATGCCAATGTATTGTGAGAGCAAAACAAATATTTATACAGCGGAAATTCTCATTTCCAAGCAAACAGTTGCAGCCGTTTGGGCATTTAAGGACTATTTATTTTTGCAACTCTTGTTATCGTTTGAAAAAAAAATACAAAGAGACTAAATTTTGGCTGGCAGCAAATAATTCCCACCTGCGGTGACCCACTGCGCTTTCACTCCATAGCTTTTCTGCTGCTCCCCGCTTCAATTTTTCATTCTTAATCGAGTGCCACCTCGGGTGAAAAATGACCTGACTATGCTTCGCTGTATATTGGATAAATAAGCTCCGTCGTTCCAGACTCCAGATCGCGCGTGCAGCTTGAAAATGCATTTTATTTCCCCACTTTACTCATTTCCACCGCGCTGGCTCGCGTCACTCATAATATGATTTGAATATACAACACGTGCACCAATTGACAACTGATGCCGGTGTGGTCGTTTCTGGTGTTTCCATTCATCAGTGAATTTTTTTTTCATAACATCAACCAGCCCTCTGCGGTCGACGCGTTCAGTCATAAAAATCGTCAACAAATAAGTAATTAAAAATAAAACCAAAATTAAGCTACATTATTTGATTTTTTTTCTTTGCTATTTCAAATTTTAGTCTATTTAAAGGAGGTACAAATTTTTGGGGCGTATTTTGACTGTGCCATTATCAAGACACTTTAAACATTGGGCATTCCAAAAAATATGTTTACAAAATTTTGTCCTCAATGATTTAATTAAACTAGCCAACATAGTAATCGCTTTTATCACAAAAAGCCTCTAAAGATTAAAAATAAAAGAAAATTTGAAATCAAAAGAGAAACTATCAACATACTCAACGATTAGATATTTGATATTTTGCAAGTTTTTACAGCCAATACACGCAATTTAACGCTTGACAAAATGCTTTGTTAACAATAAAAAAATCTTAGCACGCAAAAAGTCGAAAGATTTTAATTTTCATGGAAAAAAAACTCTAACTCAATAAGAATATTTACATGTTCATTTTATTATCTTTGTTTATCATCATGATTTATTTCCTTTGTTTTTTATTTTCATTTTTTTGAGTCAAGAAAAATTGCTTGCAAGCAAAAGAGAAAAAATTGTATTTTTATCACAACATACTGAATGACATAATATGGCATCAATTTATTTAAAACTAATCATGTTACTTTCAGATACAGCATGTCTGTTGTCTCAAGCATTGCCGTTTACATGATCACTTGGTCAGTGCTGCGAGTGACCAGGAAGAATCCCGGTGATCAAATTGGCCCACAGGATGCATTCAAATTCCAGGTAAATGCATAAATAATAAAACTACAAACAGTTTTTGAATGCAAAAATTTTATTTATATATTGATGGTTCGCTTTAATCTGCCCTTTAAAAATAAAGCAAAAAAATTATACTTTGAACATTTTTAACGAATTTTCCCTCTTTTAATTTTAACAGAACATCGTGCTAATTGGCGTCGGCCTGGGCTCTCTGTTTTCACTGTGGTTCCACGTTTCGCTGAAAGAGCCGCCGTCGCTGCAGCAGAAGCAAAGCGCCGCCAAGAGAGATAAAGAGTGCGTCTGTCTAGTGTCTCTTTCGCATTTTGCACTAAATTTCCCCCTTTGTCTAATTAAATTTGCAGGCAGGCTCCTCTGCTCTTCAAGTCGACGTCCGCTTTTTTCAAGGACCCGCGCCTCTACCAGGCGGCTGTGCTCTACGTTTCCAGCAGGCTTTTCACTACCCTCAGTCAGGTCAGATTAAAAACTAACAATGATTAAAATAAAATATTTATATTTTAAATTGATGAGGTGTAAATTTTTATGCTTTTCCAATAAATCAAAACAAGGTTTGTGAGGTATTAATTAAAATTTTAATTTATCAACACTGAATTCGACTTGAATCCCTCCATTTGAATGGTATGCAACCCGCAACAAAGAGAAGCCGCGCCGGTTGCATTGCCGATTGATTCCACTGACCTATTTCCCCACAGGGAATTTAAATTTCATTAAAGAATTATTAGTTGCAAAATTATCACTGATAGGGATAGAAAAATAAATTTAGTTGATAATGTTTCTGACCTATAAATAAAAAAAATAATGTAAATGACATTATTCTTTTAAAGCCCAAAAATTTCTTTTTTGTAGTTTACATTGAGCTACATGAAAATTCACCTATTTTTCACCTATATGAGATTTTTCACCTTGTATCCTCTGATTTGAAACAAAATTTTGAGAATTTTACCCAATGTAACCTATTTTTTTTTTTTTTTTTTACCTTTTAACACCTAAAACACTTTTCAATTTTCATAATTAAATCCATTTCTTAATTTTCCTTAATATTTATTTTACCTTTTTGTCGCCTATTTCGTCAAGGAGCACATTATTTTCTCCAACTTGGCTGCCTAATTACAGATTCTCAAATTTGTTGAACCCTCAGGTTTTTGTGCCGCTTTACCTGGACGAGTCTCTAGGCGAGGACGCCGAGAGTCTGGCGTTGGTGCCGCTGTGCACGTTCATCGCCAGCTTCGTCGCGTCCCTCGTTGTCAAATACATGAACAAGGGCCTCGGCAGAATGGTACAAGAGATGCAGCAAATCGAAGCCACATTAATTGATTATTGATTTGACAAAGGTCACCTACATGGTTGGCGCGCTGCTCTGCATGATTGGCTGCATCTGGATTTACGTTGGCGAGGGGCTTACCTTCCAAAACAGGGATATCTACTTTGTTGCTACTCTACTTGGTAAGCAGTGCTAAAATATGCAACAAAAATTTTTTTTATGAAGTGTGTCTGAATTCGAGATTTTTTTCTAGCAAGAGTAAAAACAAAAGAACGATGGAACACAATAATGCATTTTTTTTTATAATAAATATTAAATTTAATTACCAAAATATAAATAAATAGTTATCTTCAAACTATGTAAATATTTGGTTCTAATCTGACTTGTTTTACATCCTTGTTCTCCTTTTGCAAGGAACCGGTAGTTCGGTGACTCTTGTGACCAGTCTCTGCATAACCGCCGATCTCATCGGAGACAGCACTGACAGTGGCGCGGCAGTTTACAGTGCGGTTACATTTGCTGATAAACTATTCAATGGTCTCGCAGTAATGGTCATCGAAAGTTTGTGAGTGCATTTTCCCCCAAATTGAGCTAATTTTTAAATATCATTAAAGATTCCCTACAGCCCAAAATTTTTGCAATCATGTGATTTAATTTTGAGAATTCTTAAACTAAAATTCTTGGTATCTGTACTTTTATTTATGTTTACCGCGTATTTTTTACATTTTCCAGGAAATGCCCAAATAAATGGGAATGTCCTCACTATTACCGAGACGCGGTTGCTTTCGTCTGCGGAGGCACGGTTTTGGTGGGAATTCTTACCCTCGTCACATATTGGCGGCCGAGACTCTGGTGCCAAGGTAATTTTCAAAAACAAATTAATTATACTTACTGAAATTCAATATTTCAGGAAGCAGAGCAAATCGGATCCCTTGAAATTGTGATTTTTAAATTTTTTACGCGCGCTTTTAAAAGTTTATAACCCTTTTCTAGTTTGGTTCAAAACTAAACGTCACCTCAAATTGAATCGAAATGACCAGTTTTAAATATAAAAATATATATTTTATTTCCTAACGCTATTTTGTTTATGTAAAATGATAAAATAAAAGCAATGGTTAGTTTATTTTAATTCAGAACTTTGTAAGGATTATTTTCTTTATTTACAATTTTCTATTTGGTATACATGTGTTTTCTTTCAATGCATTGATCAGTTGTCACATCTCACCATAGCGATTTTCTATCTCGTTCTGCTCAATAAATAAATAATTGTATATTATTACATTTAAAGTTAAAACAAGTCTTCTATTACACTCTGTCTGTTGCTGTTTCTTCGTGTATCTGCCTCCTGTGTGTACGGAAAAAAATAGAGCAATGTAAGTAATTGGTTGATTGACATTTGAATCGCGTGGAAAACCATAAAAAAATAGGCATGTAATAAATAAAATTAACAATCAGGGCGGAAAATCGAGAGTTTGAACTGCAAAAATCATCTGGTGCGTACAAAAAAATTATAAAGCGTTTCATATTAAAGTATCATATTTTCCATCATTTTGTGAGCGCGGTACACAAGTGTATCTTACAGCTTAAGTTCCAGTTCAATATACTTGATGGTTTCGAACGAGAATTAAATAATATATTAATAATCAGTTTTTAATCATAATTTCACCTAGGGTTTCATTATTTTTTTTATTCACATTTAATTTTAAGTTAGACAAAAAATGCTCATCTCAGGTTGATGTTGTTGTATGTGGACAATAAATTTTTAAATTTAATTCAATTACGCAATCAGAGAAAAAATTGTGTCTCTTGACTCTCTGCTTGTTACCTTTCTATCAACCGTGATATGCCTCATTCGTAATGCTGGAATGACACCGAAAAACAATTTCTCATCAATGATCCCTTCTTTTGCTCCACATTGCTTTTTCACGATGCGGGCTGGTTGTTTAATTATTATCGTTCTCAAATGTCTCGTTTGCAAATCTTCGTACAAATTTGAACGGAAGCAACGCAAGATTTTCTGCGAATAGAAGTGGCAGAATGACTCTTTTTCTAGCCAATACGAATTAATAAAAAGAGTTGAACATATTCAATAGTTTCAAACAAAATATCATATGGGATTTAAAAAATTTAATCAGTCATTTTACCACGACCAAAGCAAATTGAATTGTGTTCATGTGTTTGTCTATTTATGAGCCATTGACCTATTTTGTTTCTCTCAAGTGGTAATAATGCACGTGTGTCTGCTCGGGAAATTTTCTCTACAGTTTCGCGACTACCTCGATTTTTATAAAAATTCACTCGTATAAAAAATTACTCGCTTCCCAAAAGTGATAGATAATCTCTCGGTCGGGCAGATTTTTCAGTTTCCCCTCTCCGTTTTTGTATAAAAGTTTTTAGCGGTAAAAGCTCTTTTGGTGAGAAATTTTGGCACAAATCAATACAGCTACGTGTGTGTCTGGAGTGTTTTGAGCTTGTCGTCGGCCGGCCGACTCGGCCACGACTATACTGTGGGGTTTTTCTTCGTACGTACTTCTTTTTAGTTCAAAAATCAACAGCTGCCGAGAATTTATTTCGTGCATTTCTTTTCTATACAGTGCGTGTGTGAGAGTGAGTGAGTGTATTGCAGAGAACTTTTCATTATTGTGCTGCTGCTCGTCTTATTCGAATAGGCCATGGCAAGAGTTATTCATATTATTCGTGTTTCAAGTTCGATTTTTATTAGAGGGCGCCCGGAAATAAAGTAATATGCGCGGATTTAATAATACTACTACCACCTACATCCGATTTATTTTGGTCAGACGAGTAACAAAACCGAGGAACTTTGCGTGTAGTTTTCAGCACTTGGTCTAATAGACGCGGGCCCCCGAGTCTTCAATTTTTTTAGGGAAATCACTGAGCTGTGGTTATGATAGAGAAAATCAGACAAAGTAAAATAATATGAGTGGCAACGTTTTTCAGTGGCTGAAAATTATTGTATCTTTTGACGATTGTAAATGCTCCGAAAAATGCTGTTTTGCGTCATAAGAGAGAGACAGAATGTTGTATTTTATTTTTTGAATAATATTACTAGATTTCAAGTCCATGACTCGACCAGAAAAAGTTTGTACAACTAAAATATTAATGAGTATTGTCGGTCGCCACAGCGGTCAACTTCCATATTTTCCGGAGGCCCCGTCCGCGATTTCGGATGCAACACTACAGAAAAGAATGTGAATGAGAGTAAAACCAGAGCAAGAATAGGCGCCGCCCGGTTGGTTCTGGTAACCTGAGTTGTAGTTGCTGTCAGAGTGGTTTCCTAAAGAGCAAACCGCACTCCTCGATTCGAGGCAATTTCAAGTATACGCGTGACTTAAAGGACCCTCGTATTTAAACCTTTTGATTGAAGGAATTATTCCAACTTAAACTTCAAGATTCAGAAACTAAAGTGTTCAAATTTATCTAAATTTATCTACGAGAATTGTGACTAAAAAAATGACTTTGGTAAAAGAAAATTAAGAAGCTCCAACCAATGGTCTAATGGGCCTTTAAACTTATCCAATTAACCGCAGCTCTAATCGGAAAACCACTCACGGGTATGAAAATCAAACAACCCTGCACTCGGAAAATCTCTCCCAGCAAGCAATCATTCGGTCGATCAAAATTTGAGTCTACCATGATAATATTCATATATAGAGTAATAGTCTAACTCTTACAGCTAAAGTAAAAACTTAGAATAAATAAAATTGCAGACTTTCAACGTGACTTGATGCCATTACGGATTAAATTCAGAATAAATAAAACCGAGTCAACAACAAGAATCAATTATCAGTTCAATTCTCTAGCCGCACCCAGCGAGAAACCAACACCACTAGGGCTCCGAAGTCCGAGCGTGCCGCACAGTAAAATGCACTATCCTCACGCCTCCCTGTTTATTCCGAAAGAGGGAAGCGCGAACGCCGAGATCGTGCGCGGCCGCCGCTCACAGAGTCTTGTTGGTGTTCTCGCGGGTGAACAAAGGTTAGCACTCGGTGGTCTTGTGCGGCTCTCCGGCCGACGACGAAGCGTTCACGTGGTTGTGCCGGTGGTTGAGGTGGTGGCCGAGGTAGCCATTGGCCGCCGTCCCTCCGCCGTTGCCCACTTTGGCGTCGCCTTGGTTGTTGTTGGCCGCCGGCCGCTGCTCCACGGGACTTCGACTCAGGGCAGGGTAGCTTCGGAGGGGAGAGGGGTTGCGTGGCGCCGTCAGGGCGGCCGCCTCGCCCACGTCCTCGTTGTCCTCTGACTCGCTGTCCGGCCCCAGGTGGAAGTCTTCGATGTCCCCTCGGGTCGGCAGCAGAACCGTCTCGGAGCGCGGCCTCGACTTGGCAATCACCAAGGCCACCGCAGTGTCTCGCAGCTCCTTGTTGTCAGGCTGGTGGTAAAAGGAGACCTCGGCAAACGCAGGACCCACGTCTGCCAACAGACGGGTCACAAGTTCCAGGAAGGTTGGACGCTTCTGGGGCTTTGTCTGCCAGCACAGCTTCATTAGGTCGTACAGGCGCTGCGGACAGTTCTCGGGCGGCTCCATCATGCCACCGTCGATTACATAACGCAACACCTGGTCATTGGACAAGCCCTAGAAAAAACAAAACAATTATTTTAATGCAATGAAAAATTTTTTAAATGTGGTATATTTTTTTTAAATACGTCCAGGTTGGAAGAAGCGTTTTTTTTTAGTAAAAAATCATCTTGAAAAATCAAGTGGTTAGATTCAGTGAAAACAGAAGGGCAAAAAGATTTTTAAAGAATAAGTCTAACTAAGTTGTAGGGTAAATCAATCCAACATTTCAACAATAAATAAAGCTTAGGAATCATGTTTTTAAATTTTACTTTTACAGAACATAGTTTAAAATTAAACTTTACCTGATAAGGCTGGAGGGCAAGTGTAGCCATTTCCCACAGCACAACTCCATAACTCCACACATCCGAAGCACTGGTGAAAATGCCATCTTTAAGACTCTCAGGCGCCATCCATCGAACTGGCAAGAGCCCTTTCGTGTCTGAAATTATGAAAAATAATTTTTAAACCTACTCAAAAACGTTTCATCTTCAAATAACTTACCTTTCCTGTAATAGTCAGTGTCGTAAATGTCTCTGGTCATGCCGAAGTCGCCGATTTTAACAGTCATATCTGCGGCCACCATGCAGTTCCTGGCAGCTAAGTCTCGATGAACAAACTTTTTGAATGCCAAGTAAGCCATTCCATCAGCAATTTCGATTGCCATCTGAAGGGTCCTCTGCAATTTTTAAATTTACATAAGTAAAGAACGATGAGACTTTAAATTATTAACCTTGAGAGTAGGGGGTTTCATGTTAGGATCATTATTTGTTTCATCTGGCCTATGAGACCTGAGGTATGTCTTGAGGTCCCCGTTGGCCATTAGTTCCATGATGACTAACGCAGGCAGTTCTGGACATCCTTGAGAAACAACTCCAAGCAGTCGAACCACGTGATGAGTTTTAAACTCCCTACAGACAAAAAAGATATATTAGCAAGGTGTACAAAAATTGAAAATTCTGGTTATACTTCATGACGGAAGCCTCCTTTAGGAACTCCATCCTCTCTCGCTCGGTGGCTTGAGCACCAGCAGTCTTAACTGCGCAAGCGGCTTCTGACTTGCCCTGAATGTCTCTCACAATTCCTTCGTATACCATTCCGAATGAACCCTGGCCAAGCTCCTTGATGAACTCAATTTTCTTTCTTGGAACCTCCCACTCGTCAGGAACATAAACTAAAAACATTTTCAATAAGTCACATACTTTAATATAGAAATATCAAATTACTTGTGCTGACGTATTCTGGATTGACAGTGGCAATGATTTTCATATTAGCCAGATGGGTCTTCTTGCGGTGGTTCTGCAGAAGTAGCCACACTGCGACGATGAACAGGCAGGCAATGATGAAAATGACCAGGATGAAGAACTGACTTGGCTTTGAAGATGGTTTCTAAAATAGTGCTTAGTAACTTTAATTGGCAAATAAATAGTGGAATTTCAAACCTCGATGACAAAGTACTTGTATGGCGACGGTTCTCCTTGCCCAACAAGGGAAGTTGCTCTAATTCTGAAGCTGTAATTGCCAGGCTGCAAACTTCTCGGAGCATCACCAATAACGTAAGAGTTGATTCCAGTTTGATAATCTTGTCTCGAGATGCACTCTTCAAATGGCTTTACAGACTGGAGGGATTTCAAGAATAAATATTTGATTAATTTATTACATATAAATGCAATCCCTAAAAATTACTACTTGCTTTTTTCTAGTAATTAAATTCAAGTTCTCTTATTGATTCTTACCTCTGAATCAACTCTTCTGTACTCCAAAACATAAGCCACTATGATCCCGTTAGGATCGGCAGGCTCATCCCACTTGACTCTGACTCTCCCATTTGATTCCTGAGTTGCATTTACCACCTCAAGGAAAATTCGGGATGCATCGAGATTGTCGGCATTATCTGGAAAATTTATAAAAAATAAAGTAGCAATTAAATTTAAAGAGAAAAACTAAACACATACCAAGCTTGTTGGTTCTGGCATTGACCATACTCATGGTGCTGCAGTGCTGGGGGTTGGTCTCATTGGGCACTTGTTCTCTGCAGGCCGACACCGAGATGGTGTAAGCACCAAAGTGTTTGAGCTGTTTGAGGACAATCATGGTGTCCTTGACCTCAGTCCTGTAGTATATGTACCGATCGTTTTCCATCACATTCTGAGGCTGGACTGGTGGCTGTGGTGTTGCATTGGCACCCTTGTCCGAAGACTCAGGGAAGAGGTACTCACCACCCCGAGTGGCGTCCTTGGACAGTTCAAAAGTAGATTGTCCTTGGCTGAGGTACGAGGAAATTTCACGCCTTCGACGTCTGTTGTCCGTTGATGGCCTCTTGATGTAGATATTGTTATGCAGGTAGTCTTCGAATGTGATTTGGTACTGCACTTCTCCCTCATCCGCCGATTGGTGGCTCTTTTTACTTTCGCAGGCGCATGTGCCAGACTTGGACGATTTTTCATCTTCTTTGGTGAACGGATTCAAAACCTGAGGCACTGTTGTTTTCTTTTCAGGCACCGAGTAAACTGCAAATGTGGAGTTTTAGGAATAAAGCAAAAAAATTTAAATGTGCAAAATGTTTACTTTTCTCCTTGCAGTAGTCCCGTTGTTCTAAGTAGCTCTTCTCTTGCACCTCCAGCTGGGCTTCTATAACGTAATGGGTAATGTTTCCATTAGGCTCAGAAGGTGGCATCCACTGAACAACAATCTCCGAGCTGGAGTTTGAGGTGGCCTTGAGATTACGAGGTACAGATGGAACTGAAATAAAATAAATTTATTCAATTGATATCATTCTATTAATTTACATTATGTTTTTTTATTTCTTTGTTTAAAAATTCACCTGCAGGTTTGGTACGGAAATATTGCAGTGGACTTTGAGCGCCCTGGGCTTTGGAGTGCCGAGATGAAAGCATGTAGGTCTTGATGTAATAGGCGTATTGCGTGTAGGGCTTGAGATGTCCAATCAGATGGTTGACCTGAGCCGAGTCGGGTGAAGGTGGTTCATCATCCACCATCCACCCGTCATTTCCGCAAGCATCCCTTCCATCGAAGAATGTGATATTCTTAGACGGCGCCTCAATATAGTAAATGACGTAGCCAAGCAATTCCCTTGGATCGTGGTGTTTGTAAGACTCCCACGCCAAGATCACCCCTTCTGGGCCATATTTCTGCACATATGCCTTCAGCTCGGTCACGTTGCAAGCAATTTTATCGCCGTTTGAGTCGGGTGCAACCTCTGTGTCAGTGAAGTCAGGGGCGTTTGTTTTGTCTTTTAACTCAACGATTTTGTTAAAGCACAATTTTGGGTTGTTGTGGAAGAACAATCTTCCATCAGACACAGTGAGATTTTTGCCATGACTCCAGTCCCATAGTTCTTGCAGGTTTGTGTTGTCTCGAATCACGATTGCATATCTAAATTGAAAGAATAAAATTAAGATAAATTTTAAAATTTTCATTATTTCTTTAATAAATTTTTTAACAAGAATGTAAATTTCAATTAGATTTTTCTAAATTATTAAAGCCATTATTACTTGTCCTGATCAAGCTTTTTGCCATGGATGATGGTAAGATTCCTCAAGAAATTGAGCGACACCAGTGGGAATGACCGCACAATCTTTAGGTAGTTCTCAATCTCCCGAATAGAGTTCAGATTCTCCTCCAGCTCACGCACAATGTTTTCTAAAATAGAAAATAACATATTATTATGTTAGAGTTCATTTTTTAAATTAAAACTCACTTCCTCCTCGAATGGTGATTTCCAAGCCACCCTTGATGTAGGTGCAGCCTCGCAAGCGTTGCGCCGTCTGGATCGACTCAACATTTATTCCTTCGCACTCTTTGCGGCACTGAGAGCCTGCATTAAAAAAATTGTTGAGTAATTATTGGAAAAGTTTTTATCGAAACGCACCATAGCAGGGTTTGCAAGTTGATACTGCGAGGCCTTTCTTGCCCTCAACCATCATCTCCTGGTGGTTCGGCGGGCACTCCAGTGTGCACGAGTTGTTGAAAGGAATCATTGACTTGGAAGTTATTGAGTCTGGTGTGTCTGAGATGGAAATATTTCGACATTCTGCCTCTTCTATGCACCTTTGGTTCATGTACTAAAATAGGGAAAAATAAATGAGCTTAATATAATATAAATAAATAAAAAAAAAAAAAATTAAAAAATCCATCACTAGTAGAAAGGAAAGAAATTTTATTTTTATTTTTATATTTTCATCTTTTGCCAGAGATTTACAAAGAGAAGAAATTTATTCAATAAAAAGTTTAATATTTTCATAAATAATTAAAAAATGTTCATTTCAATTTCATTTGTTTAATTTTGACAACATTATTCAATTTTATTTTAATTTATTTTACCTCATAAGTGCCAACTGGACACTTTGAAATGCATTTTCCATTGAAGACGACGTTTTTGCAGGCAACACACTTGTCTGCGCCCTCGCCAAAGCAGCCGCCGATGCAGTTTTCATGGCAGCAAACTCCATTTTCATTGCACTGCTTTGAGCTGCAGTTAGCCGACTCTGGACAAGTGGAGGACGCTGCAACAAAAGTTTTAAAAAAATTAGCTTCGAAATAAAAGTTCTGCCGTTTTCTAAACACAAGAATGGCCGCACCTGCGTGGAAGGCCTAAAAGGTGTGAGAGGGCACATAAAAATTAATACGTCCAAGGGCCAAAGTGGTTAACACGGCGGGCTACTCACATGTCCATTTACTAAATTAATGTTTGGTCAGAGGGAGAATAAAAGCGGCGGTCGCGTGGTGACTTTTCCAGAGCACACAGAATTTAATTCAATTTGGTCAAAACAGAAGCGACCGAAAGGAAAAAAAAGCCGCAGCGAGACCGCAGCTGCGAAACGCAAATGGAAAATTGTCTTTCTTTACAAAGGAAGCGGCGCTGCTTCATTAGCTAGAATTAAAATTCAAATTGGCGCCGATGATGAAGCGGTGGTGGCAAAATTCGCAGGGAAAATGATTGAATTTGTATATTTAATGCGAGGGCCTGGATTGTCTTCATCATTCCTCGACTTGAATATGCTGATGCATAATATATGCAATGCAATCTTTTTTCTTTACAAAAATTAAAAATATATATATCCTTCTTTTTATGCTGTTATATTTTTAATTGGAATATTTTTTGCTTCAGTTTCACAAATAAGTTTTTAATTGCAAATTTCAGATTAATTAGCCTGATTTAAAAATTTCCGCCATTCATAAGAGCAAAAGGGACGCAAAAATTATATAGCAACTCACGTGCGCACATTAGTTGACCGGGCGCGTTTTGACAGCGTTTTCCGTGTCCAAACACGTTGTGCGATCGCTATCTCGCGCCAAATTAGCGACTCGGGAACACGCTTTTGCGAGTCGTACGCGACTGTCTGTCTGTCTCTGGCTCATTTTTATTGTTGGTGAATTTCAGCAATCAACCCGGAAAGATCCGCAAGATAAAAGACGCGCTGGTAATTAGGGTAATACATCCGCCCGACGCAATTTGAAATTTATCGAACCGTTTTTCAGCAGACTAATTGCGACTGCACTCGATTCCTTCGAATTCACGCCCGGCTGCATCAATTAGCTAATTAAAACTACCGACCGCACGAGCTGCGTTTTAAAAATTCGTTGCTCTTCCGGACGAGCACAAAAGAGGTGAAGATTAGCCCGCGCTGCCCCCGCGGGGCCCAGCGCACCAAACAGCCCCTCGCCAGCGGAAGTTGTAACGCGAAACCACTCGGCTTTTTCGAGTGCCTCTTTCGTTCTTTCTCTCTCATTTCCCCCCATCTCTTTCTCGACGGTGGAATTTACAATGTTGCAGCTAAAGGATTTTTTTTTGTTTCAGCGGGGTGAAAACAAAGAGAGACATGTCATTATTTACTCGGACTTTGCAGTTTTGACATCAACTTTTGCACCTTTTCTTCTCCCTCACAATCAGTTGCCGAAACGAACGTCAAGTTAATTAATTAATGCCGGAAAAGCGCCAGGTCTCGGGTGTTCATTAATTTCCGAGCGAATTAAGCGAACCCCCTTTTCTCCGCGTGTATATAATTTATTCAGAAGATGCGTCGAGTCATATTTGGCTAAATTAGAATTAAAGAGAGGCGCGCCTTCCTGAGATAACAAATTAGACATAGAGATCTGCTCGTCGAGATTTCCTCCTTCCTTGTTTGCGGGAATGAGAGAGACGTGCGAGCAGCTGTGATGTTCGTCTTTCCCAGCAGAGTGTTCACATGAACGGACTAATTAAACAACGCTATTACCGCGTTGAGGAAATTCCCAAGTAAAAGCTCTCCAATTCAAATTGTCTGCTCCACGATTGGTAGATCAGATAAATTGAAGTTAATTTATTTTCTTCAAACCCACAATAAATTAATTCGAATGAATAAAATCAGAGCTGATTATAAAAAAGTAGTAACTATTAAAAATTAATAATTTTTCAATTTAATTGACCGATAAGAATAAATAATAATTAAGAAATATAATTTTTTTTATGAACACTTATAAAATGATTTTTTATTAAATATTAAATTTAAAATAACAATTCTCTTAAACACGATGAATTTGAAATCTTACACAAGAGGAAAAAATTCAATTATTAGCTGCAATTCATGGTTATGAAATTGGTCGCAAAAATACATTAACACTTCATGCAGCTAAAATTTTCTCTTAGAAACTCAGATAGGAAATTAAAAGGAAGCGCACTCGAGTTGTGACGATGCAGGGCAGGGCGTCGACCCCAATCAACCTGTTAATTATCTGTCGCAGCGCGCGGTGAAGGCCACGGTCGCACACATTATTCAGTGAGCAACTTCCGGTTCAGAGGCAACCGTCTTGTTCTTCGCCCGCGCAGCAGACGGACAGACAGCGAAAGTGAATAATGGCGAATAATCGAGTGGCGGCAGGGTATGCAACCAGTGAAGCGTGCGCGCCCAGCAAATAGTCTAACTAACCAACTCGAGCCAGTCGAAAGAAGCACTCGACAAGCCGAGGCGATTATTTTTCTCCACTCGAGAACAAGCCTTAGTTTTTCTTCTTTTTTCGTGCGCACAGAATTGGCAGACCGTGAATTATTTGCGGTGAAATTGACTCTCGTCCGCTTGAATATTAATAGAGAGGAGAAGAGAAAAAGGTGGACGGCTTTTTATTTTCCTTCACGAGGGGGCGTGATTAAAATACGAGAGTAAAAATACTGGGAAAGCTGAATTCCATGATGCCAGAATAAATTTTCATTAATTAATTTATTTAACACAGTAAATTGGATGGAAATTATAAATGCGTCTTTTAAAAACGATTTTATTTCCCCCCTCGGTGCCATTAGTGATGAGCATATCAAATTGCAATTAATTAGGCTGCCCACGCTTTGAAAGAAGGAAACGAAAAGGGCGGACCAAGAGGACCAGAAACTTGAGCTTAATTAAGTTAATTGCACAGGTAGCGTGCGCGCCGCACGGGAAATCGGAGATCAAATATTTTTCAACCTAACTTAAGCGCGGGGGCGGTTTTGCGAGAGCGGCGTCAGCACGTCAACGCGCTTTCAATGTTCAGATTAACAGCAAACATGCTGCGCGCGAAAATCAGCGAGTTTGATTGTCAAAACGACACCTTTCAATAATTTGCATTGACATGTTTTTCGGCAAACATGTTTCAAAGCAGCGACAAACACACACGAGGTTATAAAAAAGTCAACGAGGGTGGAATAATAAATGAAATTAAATCTTTTCATCAAGCTATGTTGTGTGAGATTAAATTTCCATCAAAAACTCTAAAAAACATAAATTCTACGCAATTTACCTGCATAATTTTTGACAATGAAAAAACGGAGATAGTAAGTTGGGTTAGAATTTTGTAAAACAACCACAATTCTCTTAAACCAAAAATTTACGCCAAGAAAAGAGAAAATACGCAAAAATAGATGAAGGCTTATAAAATTTGGATGGTGAAGTGTCACTGAAATCAACTTTTAAAATAATTCAATAGTTCGCTCAATTGTTTGCCTGGTCACAAAAATTTTGCTATATTCCCCAATTTAAAATTTTGATAGTGAGCAAAATTTTTGTAATAATTAAAAAAAATCAATAATAATAATAATAATTTAATAATAATAATAGTAATAATTAAGAACTTTGCACTAGCTTTTCGTTTAAAATTTTCCCCGTGATGCAATGCTCATTATCTTCCTTCTAAAAATCAATTTAGAGAACTTTACAGGACTTTCTGATGCGTATTAAATTGCATAATATGGAGATTTGATTAAATTTTTCTAATAATAATTTTTGCACGGCTATAAGCAGCATCAACTTACGGTTGTTGAGTACAAAACGAAAGAGCAAAAATCGATTGCAATTTTGGAGCGTGTGTGCGTTTTTCGCGAGTGGCATGGCGGCCACGCCCTGCGCCTCGTTCGGCCGCTGCTGCCACTCTTGCCATTCATGCGCCGCCGACTTAATCGGTGCACGTGTACCAACCAGGCGCTGGAGTGGAATACGCTCTGCTGAGAACTTCCGTCGATGCGATTCCCAGAAAAAAATTGTTTCGATCGAATGCCTGGCGCGCATTTTTCTCAGCCGGCCATAAAAGCGAGGAGTACGCGTCCGATTTTCCTGTTGCATGACGCAATTTCGATTGTTTTCTCTATCGACGGAGCGCGCGTGTGTGTGTTTTGGTTCGCGGTGGTCCCGCATTACTTTTTATGACCAGTATTTTTGTTTTTGTATCTACATCCTGTTTCAAAAAGGGTGACGTAGAAATTGAACCATAATATCCGCAGGCGGCATACCTTGATGAACAAATAACAATTTTTTTTTATAGAATACATTAAATATGGTTTTCCATTGTTGAATTTGTTCAACTTGTTTATGAATCAGTTCATTCATTCATTCAGTAAATTTGTTCAAATTAATTTCAAATGAACGTGGAACAGTTGGAAGTGAAAAGTGAATGGTTGAGAAAACATAACTGCTTTTTTAATAATTCCATTAAATTATTTGCTTGTTTATCTCGTTTATCTTACTAGAAAACCTGGCATGTTCAATAAAATATCCTTAAATTGTCTCAATAATTTAATTTCTTTCAAGATCAACAAAATAGGAATTGGCCCAAATAATCATCAGTAGCAATGAATAAGGAAAATTTATTTGTTAACCTGTTTTTATTTGCCTAGTTTTAGAAAACATTTCATATTAAAATTTATACTAAAAAGTAATAAATTGTTGCAGGGGAAACATTGAATTCTTAAACAAAAAGGCACCACCGCTAGCAAAGATTGTGCTACAAACGTCTGAAGCAGTAATAATGGAAATGAGCAGCGGAATTCGCAATCATCACTGCACGACGATTTCTATTACAAGTTTGGCTGTTTGCAAACAGAGTCGCAGGTGGTGCAGAGCCGCCAACTTTTGCATCTCGTATCAACATATATAAACAAAATTCATTAAGGCAAACTGCAGTGGCGTGTTATTCCGACGGGATGCAGCAACAAAAGAAAACGACACCATCAGGAGACGCGGCGCAAAAAGGGGCCGCTTTTCAAATTGGAGCGCGTTGAAGTAAATTCCCGGGAATTAGGCGAGATAATCTGCCTGCGCAGCGGGAGCTTTTTTCAGAAATGCAAACGACCTCTCTCGGCCGCCTTTCCCCCCGAGACGAAAAAGGCCGAAATTTGTGTTTTTTCCCTCTCTGGCTTTGTTTTTCCTCACGCGCCCTCGGCGGCTTTTGCCGAGCGTTACTTTTTGTCCGCCTGCCCCGAATTATTAACGGAAACACGAGACGAGAGCGTGTCAGTTTTTCGTCAGGTTTTTTTTGTCAGCCGCAGCGTTAATTATGACGTTTTCTGTGCGGAAATAAAAAGCTTAAAATTCTTTTAAGGGAAAAGAGCGCGTTTGAAAATGGATACGGCTGGAAATCACCGCGAGATTCAAAAGAAGGGGGAATGAAATTTGAAAGAAGGAAAAGCTGCCGCGAGAGGGAATTGGGCGCAACACGCATAACACGCACACAAAAGATGATGATGCCGCGAAATAATGCAGCAGCAGCGGCAGCAGGCGGCCGAGAAACTGCGCAGTTTGCCGCCGGTCTGGAACCAATCGATCGCTGGTTGGTCGGCCGACCGGCCGGCGTGCATCTCCCGCCGCGTTTCCTTGTTGTGACTGCGCCTCGACGCCGCAACAGGGCCGGTCAAAGGTCGCCGTTTGGCCCTCTTGTTATTGCCTCGGCTTGCAATACAAAGGAAGCCAATAAACATGACCCTCTCTCAATTTTATTCGTGGTACTTCCAGCGGAAAACAAGCGATTTGAATTTCTTCTTTTGAGGATTATTCACTGCTTTTCAATGAGAAATCAATGTAATCTCGCAAACGTGCCGAAAGGTAAATAAGGCGAAATTCAAAATCAAGGCCAAACCTCAGTCTCGTGTCTGGCCACGTGATGCTGCGAGGTGCAAGTTTTGAGGAAATTATTTGATCACCAGAATTGATTTAAATAAGCTAAACGTTCCATCCAAATAATTCATGGTTTTCTCGGATTAATATGAATTTAATTAATTTGACATCAACCTAAATAATTGGCACAGACATCATAAAACTTTCAGTATAAATAACGAAGTTGTCCGAACCTTTTAAACTGGAGACTAAATTTCTTTCTTAAATTGTAAAATTTTTGGCTTTGGTAGCCAAACGAAAATGCAAAATTGAAATTTTAATAATTAAGAAAATGGTGTATGTAATTACCTTTTTGGCAGTATTGCCTGTTCCAGCAGAGGGGTTCGTTCTTGGCTGCCGACATAGGACACTTCTTCTCCGCACAGCCGGGACACTCGTTCCTCTCCTTGTTATCCTGCGAAGCAAACAACAAAACGGTGTTGACAAATTCAGTGCGTTAGGAATCGCATTTCATGCGCATGCAAACGACATAATTGTTTTCGAGTGTGTGTGGCGCTCATTTGAAATTCAATCGCATTACCAGCGGGCCGAATTTGACTTTCAAAGCGGCGACACGTATGCCGATTAATCAAATTGCAGCTGGCTCTCAGAAAGCTGTTGGATAGCAACACTCTCGATTGCTTGGAAAGTGAGTGTTTTGAAACCTCACGCTTGATTTGCATCAGCATATAATTTCACACCACCTCAAAAGTCAAAATCAATTTCTCTTGTAAGCAGAGGCGGATAAAATTATATATTTGTACGAATGAAAACTTTTTCGTTTCGGGGCGGAAGACAAACGATTTTCGCAGGAAGCTGATCTTTTCCCAGCCAATATTTACTTAACAGGCGCCCTTTCTTATCAGATGCTCCCAAAGTCGAAACGCACGCGGTGGCTCTCAAATGGGTCAAACGCGCCGGTCCGATATCACTCCTCGAGCTGCTGCTGTGAAAATGTTTATTCATGCGCGCGAGATAACGGCCCAGTGAAAAATAAATCACACCTCGGCGCACACTCGCCAGTCACCCTTGTCCCGCGCGCCAAATGTACTTTTTTACTTATTAATTATTTCATTTTATAATTGGAGCCAGCGAGATAATAAGTCTTCCTCCGTTCAGATAAGTTCGCATAATTGGCGCTTTCTGCTGCTTTCACCTGGTCTCTCTATCTTGCAAGTGTGAATTGTATTTACCCTTGGGTGGTCGCCGGGTTGGCAGTGGCGGGCCCTCGCCGCGGCTAATGATGGATTCCGATGGCGGCGATAACATGTTTAAAATATCGCCACCGAACACGTAAACGGCATAATTCGGGCACGTCGGCCGCTGCTGAATAATTCACGAGTGCAGGCAGGATCAAGCAAGAGTTGGGGCCCGCGGGGGCGCTGCGTTTTGGGACCTTTGGAGACAAAGTTTCAGCTGCGATTGCTCGATTTGCATTTAACATCGCAACAAAAGGGGGAAACAAGACGAATGCGACGAAACTTTCAACAATATGACATTGCGTGTCATACTTCAATGCGGATAAGTAGTCATTTTTATTTTATAGTTTTGAATACAATAAGGAAAGGAAAAGAGCTGCTTTTTAAATCTTAAGGTTATTAATTTTCTGGTCTTCCATGCACATTTACTTTATATTTTAACTATATATATAGCACTAAAAAAGTTCCTAAATCAAGGGATTTTCCATGATAAATAAAGGCGTGTATACCATAAATAAAAATATGAATGGCGAACATGGCCCTCTTTAGTTTTTATCCTCATGTTGAAATATCACAAATAATAATAATAATGATATGGTTAATTATAGCAATGATGTTTTTATCAACACATATTTGGGTGAACTTTTTAAAATTCAGTAATACAAAAGAAACTATAAAAAAAATTTCATTACCAGTAATTTAATAATCATTGTTATGATAAAAAATTAAAATTATACAGATATAGACAAATGGAGTTTAAAAAAAAAAACTTTTTGAGCACAAGGAAAGTGAAACAAAACAGGAGCATCAAACTAACGGAAAGTCCTTTCCAAGCAATTAAAATCTTAAGTCGGGATTAACTCTGGCAGAAAAACAGAACGTCAAAAGGGGTTGGAGCGTGTTTTGCACTTCTGTAAACAAAGGTCGTAAGTTGAGCTGAAAAGCGCGACTCTAAGCTATGAATTTTGGAAATCTGCGCGCGTAAATCCGGAAAACCGCAACATCAGCGAGAGGCTTTTATAGGACGGTGCGTTTAGAGAGGGTGGTGGGAGGGTGATTAATACGCGCGTGCAAAAGGCCTCTCTCGCTGCTATGCAGTTTGTTCGCACGCATTTTAATTAGCTCGCCCACCGCTGCGTGGGGCCTTTCGGACTCTTGACGCCGAAATAATTATTGCGTTGCACGGAGCGTAATCAAAATTTCTGCGTGCCGCGCTCCAGGGCATTTTGCATTATTGTGCGGCTGCAAAACTGGCGTCGAGCACGAAAGACGGCTCACAATATTGGATAATGGTTGGCGAAGCCCAGCTTGAAACGACGCTCCCTCTGTTATTTATGTGAATAAAAAAATATGCCAAAATTTCTGATGGAAGCTTTTTCGTCCAGTTGGCTGGGAAAATTGAATAAGGGTTGGCTATTTAATTTGCTTCACCAATACAAAAAAAATACCAACTGTATTAAAAATGGGACAAAAATGAAAAAGAGGCGCCACGTGGAAAAAAAAAATGTTTAGTAGAATTTCACGGTCGAGGGTTGATTCGTGGTGATTTGAATTTCAAGTCGGCTTTTCCTTGATGGTTTTTTGAGTTGTTTAATAGTAGAAGAAAAATAATATCGTGCCCATCGAGGAAAAGCGGACTTAAAATTCAAATCGCCATGAAAAAAGGTTAGATCATGCTTTATTATTTTCTATTATTTATATCTTATTCAAATAAAATAATATGGTGAATTTTTGAGTGATTTAAAACTAAATGCAGTTTAAAAGGCACTTTTCAGTGAAAATAATATTGCGATTTAAGTTAAGTATTTTATACTATTTTATTATAAAAGCTTCAGTTAAAAAAAATAACCTGCGATCATGAGCCTGATAATAATGATTTAGCTATGGGGAATTTCCTGTTTCATCGTTTTTTGTTGAGCTATTATAAACTCTCATGTCGCAAAGGGATTAATTAAGCAGAGGTTTGTGTAATCGAAAACCTCAAATTGTTTATGCAAACATGCTAAATTCAAATTACCGTGACTGCAATCTCAAAACTCTCAAAACAGACATTGATGTCAATATTTGATTTTAAAAAAAATCATGCCACTATACTTGTTTAATTTGCAATTTTTTTAAAGCGTGCCTGCGTGTCGAACCTGCAAGACTAGCCAATTTCCATTTTATCTGTTGCTCTTATAACAGCCAACGTCAGTCTCCTCCAAGATCTCCAAAATCTGAATCACATCAGTGCATGAAAATATTCCTGGTGTGGATTTTCAATTTTTAACCTCAATCCACGCCATCTGAACTTCCCTTTTTTTCGTTGTGTTTTTAATTATTATTATTGTTTTTTATTTGTACAAACTGTTACAACTACATTATATTGTACTTACATTGCTTAAACTTCCTAGATCAATAAAATACCCCATTCATATGAGGCTCGGTTGACTATGTTTTTGTTCCTATCACTTATCAAAAATTTTATAATATTTAATTTTATTTATAACATATCATTATTTTCACTCTTCTCCATAAGTAAAATACAATACAAAATGGTAGTTTGCAAAAATTTCTCTTTTGAAATTATGGGAATTGTAACCATAACAAAAATTTAGACTCCACTCAAGAGAGAGCATTGCGGTGGCGGCAGAAGCCGCTCGATACTTTTCCCGGCGGACAAAAACTTTTCCTGCACGCCCACGCACTGCAGAATCTGCTTTCTCTCACGCTTTTCCCTTTGTTTCGCATCAAATTTCGGCGTGTTTGCGGTGCGTGTCCGAAAACACTCTCTCTGCACTTGTGGCTGCTCGATGAAAAATCACCGAATCGACGTGCAGAGTTGACTGACGCGTCAAAAGCGAACCACTCAAGCCACCGCATGTCCAAAACACGTCGCGTCGGGTGTGAATAATAACAAGGAGGCTTGTTATCCGCCGGCGACACTCTCACCCCTTTCGCCTTCGAAACGCGAAAACTCTCGCCGGCGTGCCGAATCGCCCGCTGCCATCAACGCACCTTCCTTTCCCGGCAAAAAACGTCTCGCGTCACTCGAGGGCCGCGCGTTTAATCTCGTTCAAATTGCACCCCGCGTATTCCTGCAATCTCGGCGCGCGTGAAAAATGCGAGGCTTTTGGCTTTTTGTATGCAAATATCGCCGACAGAGGAAGCCGGCAGCGCATTACATGGCGCTTGTTGATCAGAAAATGGGCTTTTCGCAGACGCTTTTGGGTCGCGCGACATTTTATTGATGGGATCGGCGAAAAGTGGCTGATGCTTGTCTGGGTTTGAAGTGAGGAATGTAAATATACACAAAAAATTCAATCTTTATTTTTTTATACACAGATATGGCTAGCAAAAGGGATGATTATGGGAAAAATATCACTATCTTAACTCATATTTTGTAAAGAAATTAAAATTTCCAAAAAAAGTAAATAATAAAGCCTTTATGTTCAAATTTTGGTTTAAGAATCAATGTAAATGACCTATTTGACTACAATTCAACTAATCTAAGCTGTAATTAACAACCAATTTTCACCTATTTTGAGATTTTTTACCTTGCTACACCTATTTTGAAATACAAAATGTCAACGCAAAAATCTTAAATATATCAAATTTTTAACTAGAATTTAAAAGATTTGAAATAAATATAAATAAACTATTTCAGCTGGGAAAAATCATTGAAATGCCTGTCTTGCAAAATCATCAAGCGGAGCTATATCAATCAGCATTAAAATATGTCTCAAATGTGCCCAATTAAAAACATGTTTTACAGAACTTCCTTTAATGCATTAAAAAGTGACTAAATTGAAAATATATATTTTTTTTTAAAATCATCCACTAGATTGCGTCAACAATACCATATCAAAATTTTGGTAACTTATACCCATGGCCACATAAAAAGGGGAGAGCAGTTATCAGGAGAGAGAAAAAGACAAATATAACAGCCAAACTCCAATAATGGTTTTGGCACATCGGAGCGGGAAATGCATTTTTCATATATTGCCTATAACCTGAAACACTATTACGCTTTTACGCTCCTTATATCCGGTTCTTAATGAAAAAACTTTTGCTCATAGGGTTTGGCCGGAGCTGCTAATGAGGTGGCCCTTCCTTATCTGGCGGCGCCTGCTGCGGAGCAACGAAACGAACGTGACACCCTGCCGCCGACAAAATAAACAAAAACAAACGTGTGTGCAAGAGAAAGAACGATCGCCAGGATTTCTCCTTATCTCGA